CGGGGGAGGGGCAGAAGAGCTCGCGCCCGCTCCTGTGTTTTTGACGCCCGTCATTGCGGGGAAAAGTCGGTTCTTCGACTCGTCAACCGAAGATGAGAGGACCAGTGACAATGTCAGAAGGTCGGTGATATGTGCAAAAGGATCAGGTCATCACGGTAGGTTGTGGTATGTGATCAAGGTGCCGCAAGCGTGTAGTTGTAGTAGAAGCGAGAGGGAGCTGGTGGGCGGAGAGCTATGCGCTGGGAAAGGCACCGTCTCAACACAGCACAAGAAGCTTAGTGGCACGGCAAGCAAGCTAGAATGGATGGTGAAGCAGAGTGTGTGTTCTTCAGTGACGTGGCCAAGGGGGAGCATCAATCCGATGATCAAAGCTGAGAATCTCAGAAGCAAGGTTTGGAGGTGCAATGCGGTAAAAGTGCATGAGCGACGACAGCCATCCTAAGTATGCAGCCCCGTTTCATCATCGGAGGAAGAAGATCAAGCTTACGGCGAGACCCTGGAGCTACAGTGGAGGGAGGGACGATTAGTGGTGGGGGGCCCAGACAAGGAGCCACAAGCAAGTTCCCCTCGAGGATTCCAGGGCCTGTTTTTGGAGGAGGCGTCCCTCTGAACTCCCATGCACTGCCGTGCTGCAATAAATCTAGAGAATGGCGGCGCCTCCATTGCGCAGCAGGCTTGGGGATTCATAGACTCCCACACTCGCACAGCACGGAGCGCTCCCTGTTCACGCCCCGGAGAGGGACGGCTATGACGTCCACCTTCGTGACGGGGTCGTCCAATGGAACGGAGGGGAGGGAGCTGAAGATCCTCCAAAGAAGGGGCGCCCCATTGGGCCAATGACGGGATCTTGATGGGACGATTCAAGGGCCGTCGGGTCTGTAACCCCGCACAGCCACAGACGAGGGGATGGGCTGAGGGAAAACGAGGGCCCCCGCTAATACGCGTATCAGGCTCTTAACAATGGCAATCTTGAGAAACCGCTTCCAGGCAACGACAAAACCTGTGTCTTGGTTCGTTGCGGGATGCTCCCAGGGGACTTTGGCATGCCGAGCCCCAGGGACGCGTGGAATCCATAATTAAATCCCTGGTAAGCATTGCAGACGGTGTATTCCGCCGCGGCAACCGGGACGGCGAGGTAGGCCGAGAGCCAACGGCGTTGAGCAGTAATGGCCGACTCCAAACTCGCTGCTGAGAGTTGCAGCCAGTCACCAACCCATGAGCAGTTGAGACCAGTTACAACTGGCACCGTCAATACCCCCCTCCCGTGACTGACATGGTCAAACCACAGAGTACCACTGATGGTTTCAATACTAAGCCCAGTGCAGGTGAGTTGCCCGTGGAATTCTTGATATGTGACGGAAATAGTATCGTCTTGACTTCGTTACGAATATTCCTAAGACGACCCTGTTTTTGACATCCAAACAGCGCAATTCTAGAACAAGATGAAACGGCAGCAAGACACAACGAAGACAAGGGAGAAATGCCTACCAGAAATGCCAGTCTAGACGAGAAAGGCAGACACCAGAATTCCTTCTAGTAGTAAACACTCCAACAGAAGCAAAAGAACAAGTGCGCCACGGGATTAGTAAACGTAAAAACAACAACGGCAACAAGCAAGAGCCGGACAGAGAACATTCCAAAGCTTTAGCACTCAAAAAAAGCAAAAGATGGCAAAAGATGAGGTTCTCCCCTTCCAGAATCGAACTAGAGACCTTTCGATGACAATGTAACCATTACAGTCGAACGTGATGAACCAACTACACCAAGGGGAGGAGACAGCTAAGCTGCTCTTGGTGGATCGTTGAGTAACCGGCAAAAGGTTATTCCTATATAGGGCCGGTATCCCGAGCCTGGCTAGCTATGAGTGGATCTGCGTGGGCGGCCGGATAAAACAAGCCTTTGGTGCCTTGCCGAGCATTGATTGGCTGGAGAGGCCAACGGCGGAGAGAGGGACCAGCTGCTCTGATGGAGACGAAAGTTCCGCCAATAGAAATCTGCTGCGCGCGGAAACAAGATGGAGGGCCCCCCAAGTTAACCTTGTCGCGCTTCAACTCAATTGCCTTCACGTGTCTGTCCGGCTCAACTCTATTTCAGGCTCCTGCAGAGTCTTGCACCGCGGTCGACATCCGCTGGTTCAAGCAGCTGTTTATCCGTCACCTCTGCTCAAGTCTCGCACAAGTCGATCCGGATCTGCGAACCTCTTATCGGGCACTGAACGGTCGTAGTGTCGTGGGCTCAGATTCGCCGTTGGAACCTGGGCCTCCGTTGGCGACTCCACACTATTAAATGATGTGACCAGTGTGGAACGGTGGACCGCTTCTCCTCTAGCCGGGCAGTCACCTTCCCAAGGAGCTCAGGGTCGCCACAGGGGTGATGGGCATCCAAGGTGTTCGGGCTGAGGTGTGGATAGCTACGCTCGCTCATTTCCCTGGCATCTGGACAGCTTCGTGGCGGTGGGTTTGACAGCAACTCTACGCAAGTTGGTGGGTTTATGGTGGTGTCGCTTTCTCTGGACTCGTCCCCCTAGGCTCTATAATCTGTATCAAAGTTTAGCCTTGATACGTAACGGCATTGTCAAATCACCAGAGACAAAGCATAAAGCATCTTGGGCTCCAGAAGTCGCATTCGACCGCCTAGACTAGAGTTGTAATAGAAAAAAAAGGAGGTATAATACAGCGGCGCGCCCCGGTCATGCTCTTCTCTCTGCCTCTCGCTCCTCGAACCGAGTGCCCTGATCCCTTGAGCAAAAGCACGCACCCACTGTCCATTATCGTCAAAAGTTGCTTTTGTGTTATTTTCGATGCCAGATGCCACTCTCCATGCGTCCCAGGGCGGACCCGTGTCCGTGGACACGCATCGTCTCTGCCACGACGTCACCCGAGCAGTGGCATTTCGCGTGACCCCGTGTCTCTCAGGGCTCGTAAAGCTTTCAACCCCAAAGCTAGGTTTTGTAACCACCTCTCTCGGCCCTCTCAATTCACTCCTTAAGAGGAGAACTTGCGGGTAATCTTGGCAATGACTATGACAGATGTGTCAGCTAGCTGGGCCCCCTTGAGGGCACCGAGTGCCAATCAAAAAATGGCAACTTACTGTGAAGAGCAACAACGCTGAAAATGAAAACAAGGGAGAGGACAAGGACAACGACGGGGTCGACCTTGAGGCCGGGAGACTCGTCAGTGTAGAGTCCTATATCGCCAACGCGTTAGCATCCAATCCAACTGATACCGAGCGATCCCAACAAGCTGCCCATCCTCCTCTTCTCTTCGCTTCCTCCCTGGGATAGAGCATTCATAGGGTGAAACGTACTCAGCATGGTGCTGCTGCTGCCGCCGGCACCGGCAGCTCTCGTGCTGTTCGGCCGCGCATTCGCAATCTTCTCCTTCTGGTCGGCGGCGGCACGGCGACGGATGGCGGTGCGAGGGCCGCCGGGGGGGGTAGGGGAAGAAGGGCGCGCGACGCTCGCGCCAGAGGCGGCGGCGCCGGGCGCGTTAACGGGCGAGGAAGGGCGAGGAGAAGACTATCACATGAACCGATTGTCAGCGGTCGTTCTCGTCTTTTTTTCCTTCCAATGCTTCGGATTGCAAGCGCAAGCATCGCCAATGGCAGCGGACCGCAGCTGCGTCAATTGACAAGAGGTCGCGTGCGACGCAAAGCAATTGGCGATCGAAGCTCAAGCTATCCCCAGGGGCAAGGATATTTCACTAACCATTGTAAAGGAGTGTGACGAGAAACGGATCCGAGAATCGCTGCAAGATTACTTCGGAAACTGGTGATATGACCGGAAAGGAGGGCGACGTTGAGGGAAGAATCGAATTTCGGGGGTGTGGTCGGAGGGCGTGATGATGGGAAACTCGAGCTTCTGGACACTTTTGGGTGGTGCACCTGCGCTCAAAAGTGGCAGAGTTGAGGCCACAGTTTTGGAAAGGGGACCACGCCACGGAACCGCGGTGGCCAGTGGGATTTTCCGTCCCGACGTTCCAGAACCCCCAGGTCTCCTAGTCCAGGGGGCGCGGCGAACCTACCTGAATTGGGGTTGTCGGATAGCGCCTCTCCAAAAAAAACTTCTCCACAAGGTCGTCCCCCGCCCCAACGAGATCATTCAGGTTCACTACATGGCAGACATGGTCATCCTGTCATGTAATTGCGCCATATCATCCGGCACATGCTTTTCGACAACGGGTTAGACAGTAACCTTTTTTGAACGATTTCAATTGAATTTGAGGGTACTGTATATCTAGGAAGCAGCCGCTCTTTGCAGCAAACCCCTTCCATCTGATCGCGCCAGCTTATGCAGCACTTTGTGAAATACAACACGCGATGCGAAGCTATCCCACAACTATGCTCTCTCTCGCTTTCTCTCTTCCGCTCGACTGTTGCCGACTATACTGGCAGTGAAATAAAACGTCTGCTTGCAGACTCCGGGGTGGGTGATGGTAGTGTGTACGATTCAAACAAAATAGAGAATGAACAAAGGGAAAATCGATAGCCTGCCACGTAGAGGGCATCCCCTTCCAATTCCAACACATGGACCCATGGTATCCCTAGCCGCCTTTTTTTCGTGATGACTGGTCCTTGGAAGACAGGTATTTTTCGTAGTTGGGTTTCCTCAAGCGCATGTCCGAAGCACTGCTGTCGAGGAAACGCCAGGTAACAGACGAGCGCCAGCTGCTCCCCGTCCGGCCCATCCCAAGCTCCAAAGTACCCTGCATTCCCCCCCCCCCCCCCCCCTTTCCCGATCCCAGGCTCTTTCGATGGACTTGTCATCCTTGCGGTCCTTTGAGTGCGGCCCTAGAGCTTGCTGCGTGAGAGCCGCCGTGAGCTGGGTCGGTGGTCTGGTACCTCCGCCAGTGCTCATTATAAGGTATGATTAGACAGTGATACATCTACACCTGCTGGAAACGAATCATCGCAACCCAAACGCCTTCCGCTATGATGGGACCGCGGTCCTGCAAATTTCTTCGGAGGTGATGAACGAAGAAAAGAAATTGGTATCTCTAGCTTCAAAGTGTAACGTCGAGAACCAGGCTGACGTCCTGGACATCCGACTTTGCAAGGTCTTCTAGAACGGGAATCAAGTCCAGCAGCTCGTTGTCGTGGGCGTCCGAGAACCAACTGCTGATGGGAACGGCGTGCTGGGGGTGGAAGATGTACGAAGTGGGAGAGTTGTCGATGATGATGGTGTCCTTCAGGTCTCTTCCCACCTGGGAAAGATCCTTGACGTAGTTTCCTTGGTGGTTGTAGCAGCTCTCACGGAAGAGCCTGTGGTGAACGACTTTGTGGATGTCGAGCTGATCCAGGAGCGGGTCGCCGTACTATGGACGGTCAGCAATTATCCGGGGAACAGATGGACGCTGGATACCATACCTTGGAGACGGACGCGGTGAAAACCACCACTTCGTAGAGCTCACCCACGCGCTTCATGAATTGATCGACACCAGGTCTTTTAATAACGTACACATTATGATAGTTGCCCTCGATTTCCACGGGGATGGTGAAATCGGCTTGATGAAGGATCTGCAGACCGGTCAGCGATGTTGCACGTGGTAACTCGTGAGGCATTATTCCTCACCTTGAAAGAACTGTGGACCAGTGTCTCATCCAGATCGAGAACAAGGCATTTCCTGCCCTTGAACTCGGGCGCAATGGGGGGCAACAGGAACTTCTGCTCGGGCTCAGAAGCGGTGTCGACGGGTGCCGATGCGTTCGGGGCTGGTCCAGGTGGAGGCGGCGGCAGTTGCTGGCTAGTCGGCGCATCTTCTACCGGGGGCGGGATTTGCTGTCTCTCTTCGGCCTCGGGCGTCGCATCCGGCATCGCCTCGTCTCCCTCTGCGTCCTTCCTGTACATCGTATCCTGCACTGGCGCCTCCTCCGTCTTCTGGCCAGTGGCCGACTCAACCGTGATGGCGGGCGCGGCGGCACTGCTCGTGGCAGCGCCGGTGGCAGCCGTCTGTTTGGAATCTCCAGCATCGCCGCCAACGGTGGTGTCATCGGCCGTGGTCGCGCCGGAGACACGCTTGCCTTTTGCGTCGTTTACGGTCATTGGTAGCTCGGGCTGGGGTTGTTTTTCCTGGATTTGGGGCCTGTTGGATGATGACGGCTGCTGTTGCTCCTGTGGGGTCGGCTGTCGGGACTTGGCAGTCGTGGGCCTCGCAGGCAGCTTGTCGAGCTTGTGGACGGCGTCGTCGCCGTTCTCAATCGCGTTGGCGTTGTCGGGGACTCCGCAGCATCCAAACAGGGCGAACAGTCCGCCCTTCTTCTTCTTCTGCGGGGGGTTCACGGGAGAGTTCGGTTGGGTGTTGCCAGGGGTGTTGGTCGGTTCGGTTTCGATGCCGGATCGGTGGCTTCCGACGCTGCCATTTCGATGCCGCCCTAGAATGCTACCCTTGGACTCCTTGGAGCGTCCGCCGATGCTGTTTCTCGAGTCGCTGACTGTTGCTCCGCTCAGCCCCGTCGACGTGGGAGAGGATTGATTGCGCTGCGAGGAAGACCGGGACGGTACATGCAGCAAGCTCCTACCCTTCTTTGAATTTCCACCCTCCTCTGGCGCCAGAAGCACCTTTTCCTTGGACATGTCTTGGCTTGACTGGCCGTTCTGTCGACTTTCTGGTGTGATCTCGTCGGCTGGGTTGGATGATTGTGGCTTCTCGGACATGATGCTGTCGAACTAGGTCGGGGCCATTAGCGAAGCCGTCCTGGCAAAGCGAATGAACGCAGACATTGAGCGACGATGCCCGCGAGGGGCTGGCACAAGTCCTAGTGGGCACATCTAGGTCATCCATGACACCGCCGTCTCTCGCTCTCATTCCAAGGTCTAAGACAAGGCCGAGGTCGTGTTGGCGGTGCTGTGGGTGCTCGACGCGGACACGGATGGTGCGCGTGCAAAGGAGCCAGCCCAACAGTCGAGCATGCCTCTCCTCCAGCAAGGCAGCATCGCGCAAGCACGGCGTCGATGGACGTTGCATGTGCCGTGCCGAGTGCAATGTGTGTGGGATTTGAAATCAATAAAAAGGGCGTCATCACTCACCTCCTTTCCTCTTGGGTCCGGCGAGCCTTCCCAGAATCCTCAACCCCTAAACTCAGCAGATGTCGGCCGTGAAAGGCCGATTCGCAGTGCTCGTCGCGCGGTCCAGGGTGAAGACAATTGTCGGGAACTGGACGATCGACGCGGTGGACGATGAATGGAATGGGGGGGGGGAGAGAATAAAGGCGACGACGGTCCGGTGAGGTTGACGGTCGAACGCGGAGAATGGAAGATGGTTTGGGCTCTCTAGGTCGCGCAGGAAGCGGCGCCAATGGAATGACTTAGTGGGCGAGGCGAAAGTGGCTGGGCCCTTTTTGGGGGGGATTGGATGGATGGTTACGGCGGCCAATGTCAGTTGGAGTCAAGTAAGTCAAGTCAGTCCCCCAGGTCGGTCGTGCTTGGTGGTGGTGGTGGTCGAATCAGATGGGAAGAAAAGTGGGTATGAAGAGAGCGAGCGGTTGCAGGGAATGGCAACTATAAGTGTCGAGGTGGAAGAAAATTAAGGTTGGCAGCAGCAACAAGTGAATGGTTTGGTTTCCAAAGATATCGAATATTGCTCGAGGATTTGCGACGAGACCACGGCCGAGGCGGGAGACGTCGAAGTCGAGACTTTTGGGGAGCACGCTGATGATGCGTGGAAAGAGAACGGGAGGGAAGAAGAATTGGAGCAACGACGGGCGTGCAAAGAGATTGGAAAATGGGGGGGGGGGGGGAAGGGGAATAGGAAGAGGAGGGGGCCGCGTTAGTTGAAAGAGCAGAGCAAATAAGCAAAGCAATCAAACCAAGGCCAGTGAAAGACAAGGCGCGAGTGACGAAGAGAGCAAGAGAGAAATGGGCGAGAGAGACCCCAGGGGGGAAGAGTTAGGGAAGAAGGGCAGGACGAGGTATCAGAGGCTGAAAGGCCGTGAAAGGCGCAAGCGAGATGATTTGCCTTTCAAAGCAACACTTGGATGGGGAGGGGAGCATTTAGGGGCCAGGGGCTGGTCCGTGTATCCAGACAGGTGCATAGAAACTGGGGTGTTCGCAGCCAGGTCGAGAAACGGGGACAGACAAGAGGAGAGAGAGACCGGGGGAGGGACAGGGCAGAACAGGACAGGACAAGACAGGACAGGACAGGACAGCCAGGCCACAGAGAGAAGACACAGAGCCCAGAGCTGCGCGAGAGAGAGAGAGAGAAAGCATAGACCTGGAAAGGGTGTGTGTGGATTTCCTCGTGAGATTAGCCCGTCCCGTCCTGGTTAAGCAAGAGGCCGGGCTCATGAGATGGGGCGCGATAGGGGGCCGTCGATGACCACAGTCGAAGAGCGGCTATTCGTACCGTCTAACGTTGCGTGGCGAGTAGTGCAAGTAATGCAATTCTGGCCGGAGTAACATTGGCAAGACTGACGTCTTGCCGCAGGTGCAGGCATCGACATTCGATGTGGGGCCATTGCAGCACGGGCCAGGCGGAAGGGAGCGCGCACTGTGCCCGACACCAGACGACTATCGCGCTGCATCAGACGCCATGTCTCATCTCCCATTTCTCAATCTCACGGCCTTGTTCCCGCCAAGCTCATATTAGAGGAAATCTCCATGGTGGGAACACAAGAGAGGTTCCATCCCGGTCCCCATCACACGCTCCGCACAGGAGCTAGACCCCGAATCGGTCCAATTCGTAAAAGTGCGATGGGCGACGACGATACCGACTTGGACTTTAGAGCGATAGGCGGGGACTTCCCTTCCCCCTGGGTTGTGGAAAGCTTCTCAGCTTAGCCAACGGACCGAGTCGAGCTCACGATGAACCGGCAAGCCACGCAGGCATACCGTGGGTTTGATGGTTCCTTGCTTGAAGCGACGAGGCGACGAGACGCGGTAGCCGTTCCTGGGAACATCCAAGCTGTCAAAGGGCTGCGCGCGTGTGTCCCCTAGAATGAGATTGCCTCGTGTCCAAGCTCTTTGTTGAGCTCCTAACTCGGCATCCCGGTTCCGTCATTTCGTTTTCCCTCTGGGTTTTTCTATTCTTCAAGCGGCCCCGCCCTGGGAAACAATTCCAACGACGAGGACAAAACAACAAAAGCGCCCACAACCCGGGCCCGGAGAGAGAGAGAGACATTCTGAGGTCGACTTGTTTGAGTCTGCGTCCGTCCGACCGTCCGACCCGAGTCTGGTGCTTACTGCACTCCACGAAATGAACGAGGACACCCGTCGTCGGATCTTGATGCCCTCCCCGTCCCCAATTCGCTCTCAGGTGCCCTGGTTGGCACGAGAGAGTAAGCCCGCGCGGCGTGAAAGTGGATGCTGTTGCTGCAGCCGCCGCCGCCTCTGCTTGGGAGCTGTCTGGTCCAACTCTGGGCCAAGAACAGGGTAAGCTCAACCGGGCGGTTTCCTATTCAATGCGCGCCAGGTCCCCGTCACCATACCTAGACTCGTCCCGGCCAGCGCGACACCATTTGGCAACCCCAGCCAGGTTACCCTTTTTGTGGCGACAGACTCGGGCGGGTAATAGATGAAGGGCCCCTCTACGTGCCGGGCTAAATGAGTGGTTGAGAGTCGAGGGCAGGGTAGAGGAAGAGCGGCAGCACGTTGCCTGCAGCCACTGCTGGGCGGGTGCTCGCTGCTGCCAGGTGCTTAGCGCATGAGGATATTGGGCGGTTCGAGTTTGCCTCATCCATGTCGCCTGCCGGTCTGATATTCGTAGTGACTCTCTCCCTCTCTTCAGCCCGGGTGCGCACACCAGAGTCAGTGAGCTTGGGCTCCCCCCTGGGGCTTTCTCATAACGCTGCGCACCTAATTCCTGCCAACCCTCGTCAGCCTCTAAATAAATAAAAAAATGAAAATGAAAAATCGAGCAACCACTCGCGGCCCTCGTCCCATGCCCGTCTTGCCAGAATTCCACAACCCCCCAAAAGCCGCAAGGAACAAGAACGTCCTTCCGGTCTCCTCCCAGCCAACCAGCGGATACATGGGACAAGCTCTCACAACCGGTGGAGATGCAGACCACCCTTGGACACATTTCCCATTGCTTCTCATTGGCCATGTTGCCGCCCGGTTGAGTAACGAATCTGGTTGGGCAACGCACTCACACACACTCTCTCTCTCTCTTTCTCTCTCTTACCTTCGCGCTCACACTCCCTCATGCAACGCTCCGTCCCATCCACACATCACATTGCAAGAAACCAAAGGAAGAGAGCCACTCGGGCACACGCACCCGACAGCAGGGGGAGGTCAACCGTCATGCAAAAGGGAAATACCGCCGTATGGAAAGGCCTTCCCGATTCCGCACCCACTGCGACTCTTCTAGGAATCGTCCAGGGTGGTGCCCCCGGACGAATTTCCAAAGCACGTTTCCCGATGTGGATGTCCTGCACCGGCTCCTGTTTCTGTGTCCCGCAAGGGGGGGTTTCCTCTACCACACACGGAGCAGCCTTCTTTTTCTTTTTCGTTCTGTCGCTCGCTGCCTTACAGTGTCTCTTACCTTGCCGCTGTACGGCTCTCTCTCCCCCCTCCCTTTGCACAACGGCTGGGAAAGAGGCAAGACTCGAGAAACGTTGGAAACTCACCCCAGAAAGAAAGAAAAAAGTCAAACGATCCATGGCGCATATGGGCTTTGACGGAATGCAGTCTCGGGCTGCATATCCGGCCGCCGCCGCCGCCGCACACGACATTAGATGACAGACCACCCCCTTCCCCCAAACCCCCTAACAATAAAGGCACGAGTAGGCCTTGTTGCTGCTGGGTGTTCCAGAAAGCTCCCCCAGAAACCCCAACCTTGCACGTTACTGCCACAGCGGCAAGCCCCGAGAAACACTGCCCAACCCAAAGATACGGAGAGGCTCGTGTGGCGCGAGGTTCATGAACATGGTGTTGTGGGGTTGCCGTGCCATGCCGTGCCGTGCGCCCATGCAAATGCTTTTTCCGTGGGGTGAGCCCTGTTTCTGTCTCCCATTTCCTCTCTCTTGCTCCTCTGCTCCCGTGTATTTGCTTATACGATACATGGAATCAATGTGACGGAACGCGACCGTTGATGCTTCAAGATACGTACCTGGGGGACTTTTTTGCTTTTTGTCCTTCTTTGACCAGTGCTCCTCATCCGCACCTAAACTCGGAGAACTTTGATCTCTGGTCTTGCAACACTGCTATTGAAACATACCAAAACGCCGCAACGAGCGGTTTGGGATGGAATGGCCTCGCTTATTCCCAGATGACCCGAGAATCGTGGCCGAAACTCGTGGCCGAGATTCTCCGCAAGCGTCCGGCCCGGCTGTCAACTAGACGCCCCGCCATCCCCGCAGTCCCAGTACGAACGAACGGAGACATGAAGCTGAAGTGTGAGGTTGGGCTCTTCTACTGATAGTACTGTTTATACCGTCTACCGTCCCTTTTCCTCTGCCCCTGCCGTCCGTGAATCTAAAAATGCCAAGCGGTGTAAAAATGCCATGCCCATCACCAGACCACTCCGTCGTGAACTGCCTCTCTACCCACTTCTTTCACCGCCTTCTGTCTCTCACAAAGTACCTGACCTAGTCTACTTTTAACATGGCATACATAAGAGAGCAAGGCTCGAAAGAAGTCGTCTCTCCAGAGACACTTACAAGGGTTGGATCATGTTTGGCGGACCAATATCCTTCACATGTGGCCTGTCCCTCGCACGACAAACTACCTCATAACCGCTGCGCCGTGTCTTTTCCCTCGTTCGATGCCTTCTTGACAAGAATTTGGATGTCGCCCAAGGCGATAGGGTCCTCGGGAAAGGGGTATGATGTGTACTCTTCCTCTTCCATCTTCCGCGTGCGTGCAGAATCAGGATCGGAAATCCATGGGCTACGAGTGATTCCGTCAGCTCTTGTTACGTTGCTAGTATGTGAGCATATCAAGCATACCTGATCCATGTCTCATTGCCGTTGGGGAACCTCATCAGCTCCCACTCCCTGCTGTCCTTATCCACAGGCATCATGGTGTCCCAGATAATTATGGCCGGCCTGGCCAGCTCTGTTACGATCTGCTTGACAGGCACGCTCGGAGCGACGCTGAAGACCAGCGTCGTTTCATCGACTTCGACGAATCCCTGTGGATCATGAAGCACCATGATGTTGCGACTCTGGAGGAACTCAATGGTGGCTTGGGTATATGCTGGGTCCTGCGAATGGCATCGAATCTCCCGGCCGGTTCGCTCCTCCAGTACTCGTGCCATGGTCAGGGCGACCGCGTGCTGGACGTGACTTCGAACCTCGGAGCTTCCGTTACTCGACCCGATCTGCTCGTTCTCATCGTCGGAATCATCTAACAAGTCGCCCAAGCCGAAGCAAATGATTCTGTTTATCGCATTGGGGATAGGTACTGAAAACAGTATGTCCTTGAGCTTTCGGCATTGCGGGCTTGCCTTCCACGCATTCTCGTATTTGTCAAATTCCGCACTCATCTTTCCAAGGGCCATGGCAACCTGGGCTGGAGTCGATTGGACGGGCATCTTTCCGCGTTCTACATTAACAGAGCAAGAAGGTTTAGGCAACTCGTCTGGCTGATCCGACGGGCATGGGATAACAAGACGCTGGATTGGCCTGTAGTCAATGACGAGGGTTTCGCTATTGACCTTACGTTAGCCTTCAAATCGCTTCTCGAGTCCGTCTTCACCCACTCGTTCTGAAAATAGTCCCATTCAATAGGATCCCAGGTCGTTTTCCCGTCCATGCCAGTGATCTGAACAATCCTGGTCTTGTTGGCTATTTGCTCCGCGAGACTGGATAATTGCTTCTTGGTGAAGAGGGGCTGGCCGGCATTGTAGCGTTCTTCGAGTTTCCTCGAGAGCTCAACACACTCTTGTCGCCAAGTGGAGTTCTCCGACTTCTGCATCTGTTCTTTTTGAGTGCCGGCGTTGTTCTTCATGGTTCTGCTAGGCTCTCTGGGTTTGTATGCTGCTGACTTGCTTTCTCCTATGAGCGGTTTTGTGTCTAATGCCTGTGTATGCTGTTCAAACCTAAGATACGGGAAGGTACCGAGTGTATCGTCGTTTGGGTAGATAAACTGTTGTTGATGTATGGCTGACGGTTCCTTTGAGCACAAGATGGCAGTAGTCATGTTAAAAGGGACTTCTGCTTGTTTGGTTGCAAGAAAACCTGTTTGGTCGTCGCAACTGGGCCATAGCCGAACGAATACTTCTTTCCTCACAGCATTCTAGAGGAAGGCTGCGATGAACGTGGCGTTCACTGTCCTTGCCTCTCTGTAGTGACATCTCAAGCATTAAAGGCAAGTCGCATCTCCCGTGCCTACCCCTCTCGCAGAGGTCAATCGCTCGCGGCCATGCTCTTTGAAGACGCAATTGGAGCACACTAGCTCGAACTTTCAGATCGCAACCCACAACGATGGGACAGATTGGTTTGTTGTGCAATGCCCCCTTCGTTATGTCATTTTCAACCATCGGCTTAAATTGAGTTCTAGATCTGAAGTCAGTAGCTCGGAACAGATGAGCGAGACCCTATGAATGTACCAAGAAATAAAGTCTTCTCATTATTTCCAAGAGTAGCTCCAACTTTCGACAGATCATTAAAACTTGGATAGTTGTATCTCTGCCACCGTCACAACAGTGTACATCTGAATGAATACTCTAACATGGTCAATGGGCTCCAACCACACCAGCTCGGAATATCCACCCTTGCTACCTGCCTGTCACCACAATGCCAACAGTTGTCTTGTGATTGCCGTTTGCACTCTTAGTTCTCAGTTGGAACAAGCGCAATCGCTCGCAAAATGAAATGACAGACATCAACACATGCGCAGGAGAATAACAAGGGCACGGTGCATCAAAACGGCCGTTGAAGGTCGGAAGCTATTGATTACCCCGGACCCCTCAAGTTTGGGTCCAAGAGACCATCATGTGACCAACCAGGCTCACCACGCTGAGGTTCCCCCACATTCTGGGGTCGTCGTCTTGCATGTCATTCGCCCGGGACCCCGAGATCCTGGCGGAGTTAGCGTCATTCCCGCCGGAAACAGCCACTCACAAGCCTAGGAGGTTCGGCTCTCAGCGGCTGGGACCCCCTCCCAGTGGGGAGCCCAGAGCGACCGCTTTCCCCAAGTTATCCACCGGTTCGGGTGCTGGCAGTGCCTCGGAACTCCACTGCCCGCCGGCATTCACATGTCGTAATGCAATCACGAGCCAGCGTCCCCCAAAGTGTTCTCTTCTCCAACAACAAACGACTCAGCGTGCCAATGCGACCACGTGCATAGCTGGACTTTCCGAACCGTACACACAAGGCTGGGAGCATCCGTCAGCATCGAAGACACAGAACGTCAATTGCATCGCACTTTGCGCTCCTTCATCCGTCGGCAATAGCGTCGCATATCCCGCAGACTTGAGTTCCCATCCGGTGATGGCTGCGCGTTCGTAGCAGCATCATACCCGCGGCGAGCCTGCGCGACTCGATCCCAACATCACCACTACGTACTGCAACCACTGTCACCGCCGCCGCAATGGCCGAACAATCAACGCTCCGCCAGTCGGCCGCGGAAGAGGCCATCGCCGCCTTCTTCGAGAAGTACACAACCCTCATCCGCACCCGCCTCCGAAACACATCCCGTACAACCCGCCTGCTCGGAACACTCGCCCTCGCCGCATCCATCATTCTCGGTGCCGCGGGAGGCAGACGCTGGTGGAGGCAACGCCGCGAAGAGAAGGAACAGGGCCGCAAGCTCGTCCGCACGAACTCGTGGCTGCACAACAAGGATGGCTCGCGCACGATTTACGTCCCTTACAAGGATGGCACCTCCAAGGTCGTCATCCAGACGACAAAGCCGCTGACATTCGAGGCGCATCGCCGGCTCTTCCTGAACCCGCCCCGGGTATCCGGGCTTGGCGACGGTACCGTACCCGCGGCGCAGACCAAACCGGGGCTGAACTTGGCTTTCCTGCACCAGTTCCTGAGTCTCATGAGCATCATGATTCCGAGATGGTCTAGTAAGGAAGCTGGCTTGCTTTTGAGCCATAGCGTCTTCTTGATGCTTCGCACATATCTCTCCCTTGTCGTCGCCCGACTTGATGGTGAGATTGTGCGCGATCTCGTCGCTGGGCAAGGGAAGGCCTTTCTCTGGGGACTCGTAAAGGTGAGTGATCGCAAGCATTCCGAGTCTATGTTCGTGCTAACGACAACTGTAGTGGTGCGGTCTCGGTGGCTTTGCGTCGTACACCAACGCGATGATCAAGTTCCTTGAGTCCAAGGTGTCTATTGCTTTTAGAACCCGTCTCACTCGCTACATTCACGACCTCTACCTGAACAATAACCTAAACTATTACAAGCTGTCCAACTTGGACGGAGGCGTAGGCCAGGGCGCGGATCAGTTCATCACGCAAGATCTGACACTCTTTTGCGCCGCCGCGGCGAACCTGTACTCCTCGCTTGGCAAGCCTTTCGTCGATCTTTGCGTGTTCAACTACCAGCTCTTCCGGTCTCTCGGCCCGCTGGCTCTCACAGGTCTGCTGAGCAACTACTTCTTGACAGCAAGTATCCTGCGTCGGCTTTCGCCGCCATTCGGCAAGCTCAAGGCGGTTGAGGGTCGCAAGGAGGGCGACTTTAGGAGTCTGCACGCGCGACTCATCGCCAATGCCGAAGAGATTGCCTTCTACGGTGGCGCCGATATGGAGAAGCAGTTCCTTAACAAGGAATTCAAGTCGCTCAAGAATTGGATGGAGGGCATCTACATGCTTAAGATTCGTTACAACATGCTTGAGGATTTCATTCTCAAGTACAGCTGGAGTGCCTACGGCTACCTGCTGTCGTCGCTGCCAGTATTCCTTCCTGCCTGGGGTGGTCTAGGTGGCGCTGCCGAGCTGGCTCAGAACGCCCCCAAGGGTAGCAGAGAGCGCGGCCGTATGAAGGAGTTCATTACCAACAAACGTCTTATGCTCTCGCTGGCAGACGCTGGCGGCAGAATGATGTACTCTATCAAGGACCTGTCCGAGCTTGCTGGTTACACTAGCCGAGTCTACACGCTGATCTCGACGCTCCACAGAGTTCACGCCGATGCGTACTTCCTTCGCGGACAACAAAACGAGCTGTACTCGCTTTCGGATGTTCAGGGGACTATCCAGAAGGGATTCGATGGCGTCAGGTTTGAGAACGTACCTGTTGTTGCACCGTCATTGTGGCCCAACGGCGGCGATGAGCTGATGGAGTCGCTCTCCATGGTTGTCAGGAGAGGAGAGCACCTTCTTGTGAGTTACCCCGACAGGTCGACAAGCATTGCACAAGCTAACATTTTTAGATCTCCGGACCCAACGGTGTGGGAAAGACGGCGATTGCTCGCATTCTTGCGGGACTGTGGCCAGTCTACCGGGGCCTTGTCAGTCGGCCTAAGGATATTGGCCAAGATGGCATCATGTTCTTGCCGCAAAGACCATACCTCAGCATCGGCACACTCCGCGACCAGGTCATCTACCCCGACGGCCATCATGACATGCGCGAGAAGAGGAAGTCCGAAGACGACCTGAAGCGAATCTTGGAGGACGCTCGTCTCGGCTACCTTCCCGACCGTGAAGGCGGCTGGGATACCCGTAAGGAATGGAAGGACGTTCTCAGTGGCGGCGAGAAGCAGCGCATGGGCTTCGCTCGTGTTCTATACCACGAGCCTCAGTTCGCAATCCTCGATGAAGGAACAAGCGCCGTATCCCAGGACGTTGAGGGCCTACTCTACGAGGTGTGCAAGGAGAAGGGCATTAGTAAGTCTAATAGTTGCTCACAGCATTGCGATTATACTAACAGTAAGCAGCCCTAATCACCATCTCAACACGCGCCTCGCTCAAGAAGTATCACACTTACAACCTCATCCTCGGAGGAGGAGAGCGCGGCGATGAGTGGGAATTTGAGAGAATCGGAACGGAACGGGAGAAGATGCAAGTCGAGAAGGAGCTCCAAGATCTCCGAGAACGCCTCGAGCAGGTAGAGACCTGGAAGTCCAGACGCCAGGAGATCGAGGAAGAGCTCTCGCGCGTGTGGGTGGCTGGGGGTGACGACTTGGATCCCCCGTCATATGCCGCGAGTGAGAGCGACTCGGCGAAGAGCAAGGGCAAGGAGACGGCATCGCTGCAAGAGGTGCAGGGTGATGCTTAAGGGGGGGGATCTCAATAGGTCCGCATCTGTACGACTATCATATACATCTATCTGGCTATCCGGGAAGGAGGATGATTTGCATCGTGTTTAACGAAAGAAAGAGCCATGTGTCAGCAACCTGTTTCATAGAGTTCCGCGATATCAATGGCTTCTGCACTAAATTCATTTCCACACATGCAGGCTTCCTGCTCCTCCTGCCACGATGCAATCTGCACAACTGCACGCTCGTGTTGATCGCCATTTCAGCTTCTTGGTCTTTGAACCTCGCCATCAGCCCCCACGACTTTCCGCTTTACCGATCGGACTTTGAGACGAACGTTCCGCTGTCAACGGACCATGCCTTCTGCATTACCCCTGAACCGAAGCCGCGCAGGCCTGGCCGCCGAAATGGCACCATCCGTACCCCGTCTCTCAATTCTTTTGATAGATTCGTGCCGTCGGAAAATTCGGCTTTTGCAGGTCGACTGTCCCCCCCACCGAGCCAGGACTCGGAGGCTTTCACCCCACTAAGCGGTTCCTTGAGAGATCCCTTGTCATTCCCATCTAGAAGCGGTTAGAAATGTCTTACTATGAATCCATCGCCCAATGACGGCCTTGGCCAGGCCGACGCTATCGCCTAGACTATTTGCTGGGCCGCCACAGATCCGACTTTCCAGACGGGTCCCCGATATCGACATATTTTTGCCTTTTTCTCGTTTATTGCCTCGCTTTACGATCATCCCACTGACTGGCTTCTGTGTGCTGGTCTGCATCTGTCTGCCCATTTCGCCCACTCGATGCTAGGGCCAGGCCGTTTGATGACAGCTCGATCTGTTCCGCCCAGCCTTCGTCGCTAGCAACCGCCAACATATTCCATTTCGAGATGCCCTGTTACATCGCGCCCGCATCACCCCTGCTCGGGATGAAGCTCTTCCCGTAGTCGATCCTGGAACGGAACCTCCTTATCGTTCGTGCTGTGCAGCTGGTGTGCAGAATGCTCCAGCTTGGTTGCCTGGCGAGTGCCAGGACTCAGCTGAAGAGACACCACATGGAATTGCCACGCATCGTGCGTCCCACATGTCCAGCAACATGCAGCCGTCGGACTCGCCATGCGAAGGCCAGACAGGAGGACCCCTCTCTGGGAGAAGCCTAGACGAAGTGGTTCATCGTCCGCGGCCACAGTGGCTTCCGCTGCGTTGAAGGCCTCTCTCATCAGGGTCTGACTAGAGCAAGCTTCCTCGAGGCACAAAACCTCAAACGTAGTTTCTCTTTGCTGCCGTCCCACCCTCTCCACGCTAGTCTTTGTCTTCAAAAAACCGGTTGAACGTGGTCAACCATCACCCCGTAAACCGTCTGGCGTCCTTTGTTCATCAACGTTGGTAGACTCATCACCCGAGGGAAAACAAACAACGGTCTCCGCTGCGCAGTGTGTTCAGCTCCCGCCCACCTGGGCTTTTTCAAGATATTATATGGAGCTTGTTGTCTGAGATTTGTTCAAGGTCCCCGATGGTTCTAGACCTCGTCATTCTTGCGAACCCAGGCATTCGGTCCAACCAGCCGCATCCGTCTTGATGTCTACGAGCCCACTACGTCGACCTCGATAGACAAGAGTGCGTGTGTTTTTACTCGGCCCTATTCATCGCAACTCAAACCGCTTACGCCCGCCGTGTACACTTGGGCCTGGAAGCCATTTATACCCCGTAACGGCGAAGCAGAGACGGAAGGATCAGCAGTGCAGAATCTCTTTGGACCTACTTCTCGGCCAGTGTGGACAACATCCGTAGCAAGCGAGGCCGCAGACTTTCACCCGTATATCAACCTCACTGGACTGTCGCCCATACGGACTATTCACTACTTCGCCATATTCGGATTCTGACACGATGCACAAGTCCCCCGCCTTTGCCCGTACCGCCAGGACGACGGTTGGCCGCATGCCCGTCATCGCAGAAGATGACTCTCTCCCATCCGCCACGCCCTCACCGGCACCGGCCTTCCCCCCTTCGCCGCCATGCCGAAGCACAAAACCGAAACCCTACGGCCGCTCACCCACAGCACGACCTATCTATCCGAACCCGTCCTACCCTCCTCCCGCCTACTCCCGCAGCCCGTCTCGGGAGAGTACCAGGAGCACCGTCAGCACACGTAGCCTCCTTAGTATCCATAGTAACGGCAGTCTCCCAAACTCGGGTACCTCGACTCCCAGGAGCTCCTACAGGGAGAAGGCTGGCCTTCTACCCACCGCGACACCCACGGGTCCAACCACACCAGAAGAAAACAGAAGGGGTTCGGTGTGGATGGCCCGCCGGAGGGGCTGGTACCGTCTGGTCATCTTCGCCGTCCTCGCCATCGGCCTCGCTGGAGGCTTATCGATCGGTCTCACAATCGGCATGCGCAAGTCGTAAGTCTCACCTCTTGGCTTGGTCTCGCTTACACGACTAACATCACCTCAGACAACCCACAGCGCCCGCTGACGCCTCAAACTTTACAAACCTCTTCCCCGCGGGCTCCTTCGCCTTCAACACGGCCCTCCTGGAGGCCAACACGGGCTGCACCTCCGACTCCTCGACTTGGCAGTGCTTTCCCTACCAAACCTATTCGCAGTCCCCCAACGCCTCCACCGCGACTTTCTTCTGGACAATTAGCCAGCGGAACTCGTACACCTACCAGATCTCGTCGTCGTCGAACCCCTTTTCCCCGCAGTTCGCAAACGAGACAATGACCCTGCTCGAGGGCAACTCGTACAACGAACGCCTCGTCTTCAACTTCACTCTCCCCAAGACTGTGGTCCCTTCCGACGCCATCACGCAAGACGGCCGTGCGGCGACGTGTACGTTCCAGGACACGGCGTTCCGCGCGACGTTGTGGACGAGGCGGAACGCCACAACGACAGTTCCACAGTCAGGGAGCACGAGGACGACGATGACGGCAAACGCTGACAGCAGCATCAAGTGGGGGGTGTGGCCCGGCCAGGTGGAATTTGTACAGGTCAAGAGCGGAGGGCCGGAGTGCAAGGACTCTGCGGGGAACGCGGTCAAGGTCGCGGCCGGGAATAAGCAGTGCAACTGCCTGTATGCCAACTTTGACTTTGAAGTACAGGAGAAGCGGAAGAGATGGCAGGCGTGAGGGAGAAGGAAATGACATATTGGAATAGGTTCACATGGCGTTGGGCTTCGAGACCTCGCGTACGAGCGAAGAGTTTGGGCGACCAGGAGTTGCAAAGGACATGGATATTGTATTGGCATCACATACTACACCTGCAAGAGAGATACCCTACATTACGAGAAATACTTGAAAGAGCCACTACTAATTTGCATTGTTGGTCTAATGAAGAGATTCTTGTTACAGTTAGCAAAGAAACGAAGCGAGCAAAGACGTGGTGAAGAGGTTCACCTCTGGGCAACAATGTTCAAGTTTATGTTGTCAAGGTCATCGCACTTTCAGACCGACCCTCACGGCCTCTGCTACTACACAGAGAATCTAGGTACCTCGTCAGAGCTAAGAGGACTCTGAAAACTGCACGACATTTTCCTCTCTGTGATGTCGATCTCGTCCAGATACGTCGTTCTCTTCTCTTGAGCGGCATACCGGGGGACTGAAGTTGTTGCCATGCTCGCTTATTTGGTATATTGACATATCGACTCTTGGCAAGCCTCATATCACAGCGAATGGCGTTACTCGCTTCGCTGTTGCGCGGGGGTGTCTCAATCCTCTGCGTGTTACCTGTGGAACATGCATTGGGCAGCGGATGGCCAAGCCGGAAGCTAAGAGCTTGACAGCCCATTCGAGACCGACAACCTTGTCTAATTCTCCCCATTGCGTCTGGTTCAGGCATGGCATAATCCAAAAGCCGTTGCTCGCTCCGCAGCTTTGCGAAGAGCATCTTCCCGGAAAAGGCACGTGAGCCGTCTCTGTTCGGCAGTCGAGTTATCTATATATTCGTATTGTCAGGCTCACTCAAAGTTGATTCTTCAAGGGGAATGTGTTGAAAACTCTCCAGCCGATTTCAGTAACAACCTAGCCCCCTGGGGCTTTCACAGACCATATGGCTATTCCCATGAAAGTCATAACATATCTTCATGTCAAAGAACCCTCTTTAACGCCATCTAGCCAGTGTACCATAGACCATTGGGAACGCCGATTCTTATTTGCACTCTACTAACTGTCTCAAATCCTCAACCGAGGTCATAACGTCGTGAAACGGACGCGGAACCAGCCGACATCGCTCGTCGTCATATTCCATGCATCATACAGCCATCCTCAACGGCCCTTGGCCGGTGCTACAAACACCGCCGCCGCCGTGCCTGGCTACCAACGCGGCCAAGGCCTACCTCCAGGTTGTGCTTGGTGTTGAGGCGCTTCGCCTGGCTGCTGTTGCTGTTCGAGGATCGACTGCTGCTGCGGGAGAACTTGCTGCGGTGGGGCCTGCTGAAAAGGCGGGTTGAAAAGGGGCATGTACTGGGCCGGCTGGTATCGAATTTGCTGCATCGGCGGCTGGAATGGATTCTCCCCGAACTGAGCATGAATATTGAAGTACCCGCCCGGCTGGAACCTCGCCGCATTCACGTTCTGCTGCGGCTGCTGACCCCCAAAGTTGAACATGTCCGGCTGTGCACCGAACGCCGGAATCCCTTGCCACTGATCTGGAATTTGCGGGACCTGCGGGATCTGCGGCACTTGGAAGACCCTGGGATCAACTCCGGGGACGTCGTTCAAAACGCTCTCGCCATGGTTGACACCCGGCGCGGGTCGCAATGCGAGTCCGCCGTGTTGGGCGTTGAGAGGCTGGTTGAGCAGGTTGATTACATGCCTGGGCGCCTGGAAAGCGCCGTGGATCCCGGGCTCGGCTTCGGTCCTCCGGCGCGGCGCGTGACGCCGGGCGTCCTCATCATCGGTATCTCCATCGTCACCGGAAGCCCTCCTCTTACGGCCATCCTCTCCAGGGGTCCGAGGCGAGGAGAAGAATTCCTGGGCCCAGTAGGCGACGGCCTCTTCGGGCTCGAGGTCGTTGGCGCCGAGCCGGTCCTCGATGGTGTGCATGAGTAAGCCGAGGGAGGGACGATGAACGGGGTCCTCTGCCATGCAGCGCTGTACGAGGGCTTTGAGCTGGTGTTCGACGCTGTTGAACCGCGCGTTTTGGAGGGCGCCTCCCCAGGTGACGATTTCCCGGCCGTCAGAGAGTCTGCAGTTCGTCGCTGTGAGCGGTTTGAAAGCGCAGAGAGTAATGGCGCACCATATCTATAACCATGGTCAGTTTTGAACATAAAAGATCAGAAAAGGTGAGGCACTCACAATGACACCAACCTGGAAGACATTGGAGTGCATTCCGTAGTTACCTGCAACCGGAGGCTTGGTTCCGTCTACAGCCACGAAAGGATTAGGGGCATTGTCGTCAGCCAAGTAGGTTTGCAAGTCTAAATAGTCCCACTGCCTAGTGAATTGTTCCTGCAAAATTTCAGCCGCTGTAATAGTGATTGAGTGACACTATCCTTTCTGTGTACTTACAGGGGTGAAGTAGTTGCCCTTCCCGGTGAAGCGACACTTCCAGAAGAGCTCCTTGCTGTAGAAAAATGTTGTTAGTTAACTTGGCAATCTGATAAGGACGGCCAAGTGGGAACTTACTCAAAGTACGCTGGGTTAGTAGCATACTCGCTGAAGAACTGAATGGATCCGAAATCGGCAATCTGGGCCGGTTAGCTGAAATAATTCTTTTAGGCGAGAGATGGCAACCTGCATACCTTGAATATGGGCATGTTGCCATTTTCCATGCTGCTGCATGCTAGAACTGTTGTACAAATCAGCCTTCTGCGGCGTAGTCTAAGAACATTCTACGATTAAACTTACCATTGCTCGGCTCAAGATCGAAGTGAGTGGTCCACTGGGGCTCGTAATGCTCGCTCATGGGGTAGTCGTCGGGGAGGTGCTCGTCGATGGGATCATTGGGGTCCCATTCCGGACGATTGAGTCCACCGAAGACTTCCTTTGGGGGATGGCCCATACCAATGAGCCCCTGCACAACTGTAGGATGGCGGAATTAGCAAGACAAGAAAGTTGAAAAGGGGAATAACACCATCTTAGTGGTGGCATTCCAAGGATGATTCGGTGACGTACGACTTCGAAAAAGCATCCAAATTGCTCTGATGGGCCAGCGAGTACCGCTACGGCTGGCCTTGCTGAGCCACATGTTCAGATCGCCTTGAGCCGCATGCTCGACGAAAACGAAGTTACGGACGGGCTGATGCGCGAAGTCATCAAGTCTCCACTGCTGGTCCCGTTCTTCGTTACCGGGTTCTGGTCCCGGTTGCCGGCCTGCTTGACCTGCTAAATACAGGACGTGATCTCTCGACCTTTCCGACTTGACCAGTTTTGTGATGTCCAAGATTTGCAATATGTGCTTTGCGCCTTGGAATTTCTGTGGTCGTTAGAAAATGGTATCTGAGCTTCAAGCCAACACGGGGATACTCACCGTCAGGGCCTTTTCCTCCCTTGCAAGCGTTCCGTGGGCATGATGCCTGTACTTCTCCAGCTTCAATACACAAGGCATGGCATCTCCCCTCTCGTTCAGGTAATGCACAAGGGCGACGATCCCGAAGCGACCTGCCCCAAGTATCTTCTTTACCAAGACACCGTAGCCTTTGTGATCGTCCTGCCCCCATTGGCCATAGTTTGCTATGGCACCATCAATATCTGCCGTGCTAAACTGCTGCGGCGCATACGGCTGCGACAGTCCCAGGGGTTCTGTGTCGAACACGACACGTCCATAACGTCTTTCGGTCAATGTACCGTCGTCTTTGTGTTTGTTGTGTTTCATTCCTCTCACTCTGGCCATCTTGTCTGTACTCTCATTCCTCAGTCGTTGCCTATACGTTTGCAGGCTTTCTCCTGGGCCCTGGCACGGACAGTCCGGCTGGTGAGGGCCATTTCGATGTTGCCGTTGTTGCTGGAAGGCGGCCTGTGACATGCTGAAGTGTACTCCCACCGCAGCTCGGTGTGCCGGCTAGCTCTTGATATTTTCCCCTCTTAATTTTCGCGATACTGATGAAGATGTGAACAGTTGAACTGTGCTAAAAGTTGAGCGTAGTTGTTGTTATTGTGCTGTCTCGAATACCGATCTAGAAGATTTACAGTTCTAGGGAAACCATAGATGGAAACCAAGCGTATTTGTGCAGACCACTAACAGGTCTTGATTCCCGAGGCATAAAGGACATTCGAACGCTGCAAGAAACGAAAGTAGTGAAATCGTCTATTTTGAGGATAACATTGGAAACAAAGTACAACAACTTGTTGAGAAGCAATGCCTTTGAAAGCTCGCGGGCACAGAACAGTTTCTCCATTGTCACATTGTCACTTGGTATGGCAGGGCTCAAAACCGCGTACTTCATTTTTCCCCCTCGATGCCGTCTTGACAAAGAGGGCCCATTGAATCGAGTAAGGTCACTTTTCTTGTTGTCGGAGGTCTCCCCGAGCCGGGAGTCGAACAAGACCACGAGTAGTCGATCGAGGCCATGCCGTACAAAGAGTCAATTTTCTCAATTGTTCCGGTTACAAAGCCTGGACAGCAACCGTTGATCAATCTGCAATTCAAAAGAAGGCGGTGTTGGAGGCTGCTGTTGGAAGAAACACCAAGTGCCGCTTGGTGGGGGCAAAGAATTGGGCAGATTCAACGGGTGAAGCGGTGCGGAGTGAAGTGTCTGGTTCCACCCGGGTGAAGTGCAAAGGGGGTCCAGGTTGGTAGTGACCGCACGCGCCCGTCCACGTGGGGTGAGTCGCACTGGCAAATGCGCCGACGAGACGTCAATGGGAGGCGATGAGGGTGTGCGACATTCCGCGTGAAGATTCGGACGGCGTCCGGGCTAGTCTTATCTGACGTCGACATCCAGGCGAACCAAAGATCCGGTGCTTGAGGGTTGGCAAAACGGGATTTAAGATAGGCGCCAATGCATTAGTGGCTTAAAACACCGTGCATGCCTCTGTTTCAATCGCTCGAAAAAGCGGGAGCGTACAACGTCGAGCAGAAAACGCCGTCGCGCTGGTCGCAATGGAGGAAGTCTATCAAAAAGCGTTGGCGATGGAAGAAAAGAAACCAATTAGCCGCGTCGGATGGCATTTAGGCTAAATGCGAAGAGAGCGGGTCTCTGGCCGAATCCATTCCCCACCGTACGGTGCTTTCTGCAGGACCTCAAGGCGGGCCAGACTAGGAACAGGCTGGGTACGCGGTTGACTCGAGAAAGAAAAAAAGTGAGGCAACTTGCTTCGTTCAGCAGCATCAGGAAACCCCCCATGTACTACACCTGTCTGTACAAAAAAAAAATTTGTTGGCATGTGCCAAAGTGTCTACTTCACGCCATCTTCCGACAGGGCAGCCCTTGGTGGACAGTTATGCAACATCAGCTGGCCGCTGTTCCTGGTGTTTCCCATTTTCGAGAGGTGGACAATCCTCACAAGACCCTTCTCGGCATGAAGAGAGCCAGTAGCAGAGCACGAAAGCCGCCCTGGGCCAAACCCAAAGCATGGCCACCATGCGTATCGACAACACTGCGAAAAACTCCCATTGCTTTACCTGATGCTCAACCATGCACAATTGGGTTACTTCACCACCCCTTGACCTTCCCGTAAAACCACCACAAGTGTGACCGTGACGAGCAAGTCACAGCAGTCAACGAGGTGTTCGAACCCCAACTACCCCAAGCGGCGGTTTGTCTCCCAGAATTAATTCTTAGGCTGATTTAAACGCACAAATGGGCGTGTCCCGTTCTGTTGTGATCACACACCCCCCATCTCCACCCCCTCCAAGATAGCTGGCCGCCGCCTTCATATCCCTCGCTTTCGCCCGTGCTATATTACCCGGTCGCCATGTCCATGGGCCATTGGGTTCCCCGTGTCGTCCAATGTTGAGCGCCCTGCTCGAGCTAAGACTCCAGAATCCAGCGACAATCCCTGGCTGGTTGGTCAGCTTTGGGGGAAACGATCTGTGTGCACTTTTTCCTATCGGTCCCTTTCACCCCGCCGCGAATCTGTCGTACCCTTGATACCCGCGCCAGAGCTGTATGGTGACGGCACCATGTACTTTTCTAAATACGTAGAGGTGGCCAGGGGACCGGTGGAGGTCATCGACGCGCCAGGTGAGAGAAAGACCAGGAGGGAGTGCCTTTCTTGCGATCCAGGTCGCTTGCCCTCGATCCGGACAGGCAGCCAATTCTAGTCTACGTGTTTGGCAACCGCATGGCAAAGTACACCTGGCATACGAGGGTTATAAATACCTACATCGTCCCTCGTCTTGTTCCTGAGCGTCACCTCCCTCTTCTATTTCTTCCTCTCTCTCTCCCTTCTCCAAGTCTTGCATTGCCCTTTGATACCCCTCACGCTTCTCTTCCAACCGTCCCCTTTAGCACCAGCGGACTTCACCATGGCTGTCCCCAACATTAAGCTGAACAGCGGCTTCGACATGCCCCAAGTGGGCTTCGGTCTGTGGAAGGTCGACAACGCCATTGCCTCCGACACTGTCTACGAGGCCATCAAGGCCGGCTACCGTCTGTTCGACGGCGCATGCGGTAAGTGAACCCATCTGCAACCACCCAGAGCGCACAATCGCAGCGTCTTTGGCTTGGGAGAGGAGGGGCAGGGTAGAAAGTTCGACCACGATGGCAATGGCAGCGATCATGCGACCACGGACTAGCAATTGGTGACATGAGTTTCTCCGGGGAAGGCGTTGTCCGCTGCCATTCACGCTATTGTTGGTGGTCTGTTTGGTCTTATCCTCGAGGACTTTGGGACGCCTGAATTACCCCTCCTTAACCCCACCATGGACGATGGGTGCGAATTTCTGCAGGGCATTGAGTTTCCCCATACGCTGCAATTTCACCCGGAAAGCTCTCCACACAAACCCCTGTCCATTCAGCCGGACTTCATACCCCCCACCTCCCCCGTCACCCGCTCACTTACACTTGGGGGATCCTCCAATTTCAAACAATGACATCTTCCGCGCATGCAACATACCCGTGTCGTATCTGTGGCTACTCAAGTTTGGTACTGATGTTTCATTTTTCCTACAGACTACGGCAATGAAGTCGAGTGTGGCGAGGGTGTTGCCCGTGCCATCAAGGAGGGTATTGTCAAGCGCGAGGATCTCTTCATCGTCTCCAAGCTCTGGAACACCTTCCACGATGGCGATCGCGTAGAGCCCATCGTCAAGAAGCAGCTCGCCGACTGGGGTGTTGACTACTTCGACCTCTACCTCATCCACTTCCCCGTCGCCCTCGAGTACGTCGACCCCTCCGTCAGATACCCGCCCGGCTGGCACTACGACGGCAAGTCCGAGATCCGCCCCTCCAAGGCCTCCATCCAGGAGACCTGGACTGCCATGGAGAGCCTCGTTGAGAAGGGCCTCTCCAAGAGCATCGGTGTCTCCAACTTCCAGGGCCAGCTCCTCTACGACCTCCTCCGCTACGCCAAGATCCCCCTGCCACCCTCCAGATCGAGCACCACCCCTACCTCGTTCAGCCTGACCTTGTCAAGCTGGCCGCCAACGAGGGCATTGCCGTCACTGCCTACTCCTCCTTTGGCCCTGCCTCCTTCAAGGAATTCAACATGGAGCACGCCACCGACTTCGTCCCTCTCTTCGAGGAGCCCACCATCACCGCCATCGCTAAGAAGCACAACAAGGAGCCTTCCCAGGTCCTCCTCCGCTGGGCTACCCAGCGTGGCCTTGCCGTTATCCCCAAGACCAGCCGCAAGAACGTCCTGGCTCAGAACCTGGCCGTCACCGATTTCGACCTCGAGCAGTCCGAGATCGACAAGATTAGCGCCCTCGACAGGAAGACTCGCTTTAACCAGCCCGCCAACGTAAGCTCCCTCCTTTACCTAGTAGGCAATGCATGAAACAAGCTGACTTCTTCTTAGTACTTCCCCACCGAGAAGCTGTGGATCTTCAGTTAGATGGTTCGCCCATGACATATTGTCAATTCAGCCTTGTTTATCGTACCTACAACAGCATTACGCCCGCCTTTAAAAGTGAGTGGCTTTCTAGCAAGTCACCACTAGCGGTGTGTAAGGGAGCAATATACAACGTGTGTCAAACATCGTACGACGTATGTCGATTGTATCTAGATACCCTCTCCCTCGGCAAGACTATGGTCTGCCGCTAAAATACAACCAAGAGCCATGATCAAGACCAAGACAGGTTGCCGAGCCCGCTTGCACAGGCATGTAGTGTGTTTTGTTTTTCGTGAGAAAGTCAGAATAGCCGCCCCGCCCATTGAACAATGCTTCTCACCACGCCCCTTGTGCCCCGAACAAGCGCGGCCATGTGTGTGGTGGAGAGGTATCTCGTGCTGAAAAAAAAAGTCCATATATGTCCACTGAATTCTGCTCCACCGCCAGATTCTAATCAAACGCCCGTGTAACGCCATGCCAGTCTCGTAGGAATCATGCTAGAGTGCCGAGCTTCAAAATCATGATGTCTTGACGTAGGCTGTGGAGTTTGTTAGCAATCGTGTTGTGTTGGTCTAGGACTGGTTGAATGCACTCACTTGCGTCGATCTGGGATAGTTGAGGCAGAGCCAGACGGACTTTGTTGCGGTACACCGCGGGGCCCCTAAGCTGCAGCGGGTTGCCTTCAAAGTAGACCGTCGTGAGCTGCTCCTTGTCGCGCAGCTCCTTCTCGACCTCGTTGAAGTCGGCGATCTGGTTGTAACTCGCCCAGAGCTCCTCGAGGTTCTTGAGGGGGCCGAGGCCCTTGACGCTGGCGACGGCGTTGTTGGAAATGTCGACGACACGCAGCTTCTCGTTGCGCTCGATGCCGGCGAGGGAGGTGAGGGCGTTGTGCGAGATGTAGAGCTCCTCGAGGCTGGGGACATCGGCGAGAGGGCCGAGGTCGCGGATGCGGTTGGACTGGATGCTGAGGATGCGCAGGTTCGACAGGCCGCCGAGGCCGGTGAGCTCGGTGATCTTGTTCTTGGCGACCCAGAGCTCCTCGAGCTTCTTGAGGGAGTCGAGGTTCTGCATGACGCGGATGCGGTTGGAGCCGAGCTCGAGGGAGGTGAGGTTGTCGAGGCCTTCGAGGTTCTCGATGGTGCTGATCTTATTGGCGACGAGGAAGAGCTCCTTGAGCTTCGTGAGATGGTTGACGCGCTTGATGTGCTTGATCTTGTTGAAGCTGAGGTCGAGCGAGGTGAGGTTGACGAGGTCGTCGAGGCCGCGGATGTGGGAGATGAGGTTGTCGTAGAAGTCGAGGTCCTCGAGGGTCGAGGCGAGCGGGGAGAGGCCGTCGATGGACTGGATCGAGTTCTGGCGGAGGCAGAGGCGAACAACCTTTTTGAAGCGCTCGAGGCGGAGGGCGGTGATGGAGGAGACGCGGGCGTGTGAGACAATGAGCTCGTCAGTTTCCGGGTCTTCGCCGTCGAGGAGGTCTACGGTGGGTAGCGTGTTAGTCTCGCTCTGCACTGGAAGAGTCTGCATCGTGGGCCATCTTGCCTTCGTCCGCGGGGAGCTCCTCGCCGGCAATGACGTTCTCGTCGTCGGATTCAGGGTCCGACAGGACTTCGGGGTTGGCGAGGACGGCGGTGCGCTGGACCCTGAGCTTCCCATCCCATCCTTTGCTGTTCCTCAGCCCGGGGCTGGTCTGGCCGTCCGTCCGCGGGGTGCCCTCCTCCTCCGGGAGTTCGATGCGCGGCGAGTGCCTCGGCGAGGATTCGGTCGGTGTCTTTGGGTCTACGGGGCCAGGCATGATGGGTTGTTGTCGTCTTCGTCGCGGGGATACGGGCGGTGTGTCGGTTGGTCGGTTTCGCGGGTTGTGTGCGATCTCGATTGTTTGATTTCAAATGGCGGGGTGGGAAACAAACAGCGAAGGCGGTCGGGTTTGCTGGTTTCTCAGCAGGATTGCGGGGCGGGTTGGTCGACAAAGTGGGATGACGAAGGGGGGGATGGGACTTGGAGTTCAAGAGTTTGAGGGGTTGTTTTGCGAGGATGATCAAGATCCCGTGTTGCACATGCTAGGGTACGGGGGAATTATGGATTCTTTGGACGGCTAATGATTATTTATTTATTATGGCCGCCTACATCTCACAGTTCCGCCCCTCTGCCTGCGGGGAGAGGGGGCATCAGAAGGGAACAACAACAACACACACGCATGTGGCACATGTTCCCCGGAGCAGGACCTGCAAACTGCAATGAGGTAAGGTGAGAAGTGACGGGATGGCTAGACTGCCCTGTTCCTTCTGAACTGGTGGAACTAATGTAGACGAGGTTTGGAGGCACAGGATTGGCGGATTGGTTCCAGAACCCATGAAGGGCCGTTTGACGCTAGAGTATGACGTCCCAATGGGTCAGTCACTCACTGTCAGTCGGGTCGCTTTCCCATAGACCGTCGTCCCGGAACGAGGATCAAGCCGCGGATCAAGGAGTCTGGCTGGTTGCCTTCCATCTGGATTGAATGGAAGCGTCCAAAACGGGGCCGCGTCGCTGGGGGTCTTTGTAGACATGGAGTCATCGTGCCGCTGGAAAGCCATTGTCGCAGGCTGACTCCAGCGCCATCAAAGAGGCTCAGCGCCGCCTGGTGTCACAGAGTGTGGCCCTGGTCTCAGTGCCTGTCTCTACTCTCAGTGACAGCCCCGCCACTGTTACCACGGGCTGGATGACGGTAGCACGGCACTGGAATGTTCAGGCCTTCAGGGTGCGATCCTTCCCCAGCCTCTAGAAAACGGCGCCGCCGTGGACGAATGCAGACCGCCGGCGATTGGGCTGGAATCCTGCACAATTCACCAAGGCCGTCTTCATTGCTGCCCACGCCGAATTCGAACCTTGCTTCCGAACATTCTCTGGACGGAATAGGTCCGGCTGCATGCCGGCCACAAAGAGCCCAGTCGCGTTCGAACACATGCGCGCCATGTCATGACCCTGCCAGTCAACGAGAAGTTGGAGAGAGCCGATTTGCAAGTCTCTCCCTGCCCCGACCCCCAAGCCTTCTCCATATCGCTCTCGCGCATGCAATCAGGAACCCCCCGTGACGGCCCCTTCGCCCGCGTCGCAAGGTCCTTCGTCAACCTAACACCACCCACCCCCCCAAGGCCCGACACACGCCTCCATGTCTCGCAAGCGATTGTGATGCATGCTATCCGCGCATCCTCGATTGGGCAGATCCTACGTCGTCCTCGCCGTCTGCAAGCACTTCCCGTCATAGCGATATGGCGAGCCACGTCTCCGCGACCGCCGCCGACACCGCACCTCGGCCTCACCCACAAGAGGCAGTTCCAAGCTGAGGCGCTGTATCTGCCGCCGCTAGTCTTCACCGGCCTTCTGGTCGCCCTCTGGACGCAGAAATGCATCGCAATGGTCATCTTCCAGAACAAGATCATCTACATGCCCGGCCTGCCGCCGAACGCGCGCAGGGAGCGCATCGAGGACTACGCGAAGCAGTGCTGGGGTGTGCAGTGGGAAGAGAAAAGGGTACAGGCCGCTGATGGGACGGATCTGGCCCTCTGCGTGGCCTCGGCGACATCGACTGGCGACAAGAAGACCACGTCGCACGCCGACACTATATCGGTGCCGTCGATCTACATCCTCTACTTTCAGGGTCCGCCCCATTCCCCCGCCCTCGCAGGCGCATAGCTGTGATGGCCAACCCGACGAACACAAGCTCACGCCCGGGAGAACAGGAAACGCCTCGTCCATTCCCCCGCGATTGCCCGACCTATCGTGGGTCCTCCGGACGCTGCAGCAGAGCAAGCGGCCCGCGCGATACACAATGGTGTGCCTGAGCTATCGCGGTTATTGGACATCGAGGGGTCGCCCCTCCGAGAAGGGCATCAACCTGGACGCGCAGGCGGCTTTGCACTGGATTGGCCGGATGCACGGGGAGCACGACGCTCACGGGCACCAGCCACTGCCGGAGGTGATCCTCTGGGGTCAGAGCATCGGCGCTGGGGTGGCCACGAACCTCGCGGCCTGGGAGGCGTTCCCGTCCACGGCGCGGCTTCGGTCACTGATCCTCGAGACGCCCTTCACGTCCATCAAGGATATGTTGGTGACGTTGTACCCCCAGAAATGGGTGCCGTACCGCCACCTCTGGCCGTTCCTCCGGAACCACCTGGATAGCTGGACGAACCTCGCGGCGATTGCCAGGAATTGGTCAGGGGAGCGCGAGAAGCCTCGCGTTACGATTGTAGAAGCAGGCAGGGACGAGCTAGTGCCGGCCGAACACGGCGCGAAGCTGGTCCAGCGCTGCGAGGAGGTCGGGCTAACGATCGAGAAGAAGACGGTGCGTGGCGCTTTCCACAACGATGCCGTCATCAGGCTGGAGGGACGCAGAGCTGTCGTCGACGCCATCGAGCAAGTCGCAGCTAGAATATGATCGCAGTCATGACATCAAGTGAAGTCTTTTGGCAGCACGTGTATAATGCCGTCTTGGTTCAACGTCGTGAACGTAGCCATGCCAAAGAGAGGGTGATCCTGATTGGCGAATTGAAAAGAAGCGTGAGGGTCTGCCAGAGAGCTGCCTCGGCGTTTTGAGTTCGCATCCAACTCCAGGGTCCCTGGGAGCTAGGAACGGTTCCCCGGCACGTCGTTGCTAGACTTGCAGAGATAGGTAATGGTCAGGGGCTGCTTAAATTGCCGTGACTCTTTTGTTTGAACCAAGCCTGTTGGATGGTAGTATCCGTTGCGGACCAACGCCATGTGCAGCGGTGGAAGTTCACTTGCAGAGCTCTTCCACGACCTCGAAAGTCGGACCTACGAGGTAAAGCAGAGAGAGAGAGATCTTGGTTCTCCATGAACCGGTTGTCTTCAGAGGAGCTGCTAGTGCGATTGTATGGTTTCAAGGGATCAATTGATGGCATTTCCAGTCTCATCGAACGACCTTCGCCCCCCTCCTTGTGACCGGATCCAAGCCTGGTGTAAAGTGGTTGCTCCAGACGTTTCTTCTTCTGGCATGGTGATTGCAGAGCTTGGACGTGGCCACGCCGCCTTAACGTGGACCTCTATTTTTTCCATCCCCTATCAGGCAGCTTCGTGAATTGTCGAGGCACCAAGCTATGGCTCGGCTGTCCGCGAACTCTTAGTCACAGGTACTTTCGTACCGCTGAACCACGGTAAAGGTACCTGCCGACCGGAGCGAGGGGACGCCAACCCCCTGGATTCGGCACCGTGGAACCAGCCCAACTTCACCCGTCGACACTGACGCTCTCGCACCTAATTCTGACTCGGCTGTTTTCCATCCCTGCGGATGGGCTTGGTCTTGGACCGGGTTCCGCCTGGCACCCAGTGCCTGCCAGTGTCCGCCAGGGCTTCCGCAAAGCAAATGGCGGAGGCAACCAAAAGAGCCACACGGTGCACCGACTGTCTCGCCTCTCACAAAGGGAGGGAACCCCCTGTCATCTTTGCACGTGATATCGCTCATTGCTCGTGTTTCGTTGCTGAGTGGGCCCGTCGCGTCTTGACGCGCCCAATTAACGACGCTCTCACCACTTTTTTTCCCAGGCACAGTCTCAATCTTGGTCAAAAGCAGCCAGGCCCGAGGCAATCACTGCGGCATGGGGGATAGAATCTCTTCTCGGGGGCCGTGCAAGGTTTAATCAGGCTGTATATAATGATTCTGACTCCCCATCCCAACAGAGAATTCCTGTTTCTCTCCCCTTTCTGTATTCACGCATCTCGGGACGGCGCCTTAGGTAGGTCAAACAGATTCATCGATAGAACTCAATCATTCATCCATCGCCACACCAATCTACCGGTTTTTTTTTTTTCATCCATCTCTTTCCATCATTTGAAACATCCCGACCATAGGGCAAACCGAGGTGTGATCTTTTGTGTATCTGGCTATTCTTTCTTTTAATTCCACCGTCTCTCTCGACAAACCGCCACAATGTTCAGCCGACGCTTCGAACCGCCCCAACCCGTGAACAAGAGCTTTTCGAAAAGTCACAAGGCATCCAAATCAAGCTCCTCGTTCAGCAAGGCCAGCGGCGTTTCGAAACACCGCCATGAGTCCCGTCACAGCCGCCGGCCGACGACCGCCACTACGTCGAGCACAGCGACCGAGGACACTGCGATGGGCAAGTAAGTCAACCAAGTATAAGATGATACCTCATATGATGCTTTTTATCATCCCATCTCGGTCAAAATCGCTAACATACGTCTTCCTCTCAGCAACCTGACCTCTGCCATCGTAACCCTTGTTGTCGGCACCGAACAACGCCTCTTCGCCGCCCACGAGGATGTTCTCTGCGCCTCGCCCTTCTTCCAGCACGCTCTTCGCGGCCCCCACTCCCCCGACGCCGGCGCCGCAGCCAAGCGCGTCGCCCTCCCGGACGAGGAGCCCGAGATCTTCTCCTCCGTGCTCGAGTACCTCTACAAGGGCGACTACTACCCGCGCCTCGTGCATAACAAGCGCCGCAACTCGTGGGAGATTGAGGCTCTCAATGCCGATGACGGTCGGGGCGGCGTCGAGTCGACCGTCTACCACCACGGCGTTGACGGCGACCTGCTCAAGGATACGGTCATCTACTGCGCCGCACAGAAGTACGGGCTCGAGGAGCTGAAGCGGGTTTCTCTGCGGAAGCAGGGTCTACGTGAGCTTTTTCATCTCTCGGATTGCTTCATCCACACTTACTGACGACTGCAACAGAGTCCGGAATCCAGTGCAGCACGATCCTGGCGTCGGCCCGATACGCCTACGCAAACACACCCGACAGCGACTCCAAGCTGCGGGCACACTACCTCGCTCTCATCATCCGCAGCCGGAGCACCTTCAAGCGCAGCGGCACCATGCAGCTGGAGATGTACAACGGCGGCACCCAACTCTTCTTCGACCTGTTCGTCGCGCTCTGCAACCACGTCGACGATATTTCGACAGTGTAAGTCGCACTCTCTGATGCTGGTGGCCGCCCTCGATTCTAATCATCAACAGAAACACACCTCGCACACCTCGCAGCGGTCGTCCTTTTTAGGACTTACCAGACTCCCTTTTCTCACCAGTCGTCACTTCCCATCTCAGCCAAGGACACACAAATACCCGGCTCACACCTAATGACTTGACGTTCTCACGCAATCCTGTTCTTCCTTTGGCCGTTTCTGTTTCTCATCGAGATTTTGACTGGGGCGGGCTTTCCTTTGGATTTGCAAAAATTCGCAAAATACCATAAACATCGGGCGTTTTGAACCTCCCTACCCCAGGAACGGGGATGGTTCCGGCGTTTGGGGACCATTTGTATTATTTCTGTCATCATCTCTGCGATTTCGTCGTTTTTCTTTGGTTCGACTTCTTGACATTCTCACAAGAAATCCTTGTATCATTATATTTTGCGTCTCGTAGAGAGCGCCATTGTCTCCCAGGCGAAGAGGTTCTGGGAACACTTTATCAGGGTTGTTTCTTTTCAAGTTTTCGGACAACGGCCCACATGGAGGTCGCCGAGAGTCGTTTCCAGTCATGTTGGAGCGGAAAAGAAGGGAGGACACGCGGACAGATTGCGTCTTTTTCTTTTGCGAAGAGAACGAAGTACTACTGTAAAATTACCATTCTACACGCTCGCTCTGCCGCGCTGAAATCTACAGGAGTTGCTGTTGTGATTTCTGAATTCCTGCAACTCTGACCCGATGAGGCTATTCGCACAACGTGAACGCTCGCCTGAAGGAGACGATATTGGCCGTCGCCTTTTCCCGCTTCTCCTAGCACTTGATACGAACCCGCCAGCCCAAAACCTCGGGGCACCCGGAAATAGTCCTGCGTGAACAGACGTGAATGCCCAAGGCACCTCGATTCGCAGAACCCAGACCGGCGAACCATCCCTGCCTACAGCCCGGTCGTTTCTCACGTCCGCCCGTTCGCCTCCTCCCCTGCGGAACAGCCTCCCGGTTCCTGGTCCACCGCAGCAAGAGCTCGCCTAGTGCGGCGACGGCCGTAAAAGTTGCGTACCAAATGCCCGCCAAGCTTTTGGTAGGATGCAATCCGCCCCCTTGCCTCGCGCAATGTGAGTCACACGATAGCATCACCGAACCCTGCTCATAGCCAACACTATCACCCATTCACACAAACCACGCTCCGCACCCTGAAAGCCCCGCTGTTCTGACCGGACGCTACGGCTGCAAGCACTTAAAAGCCACCCCTGCAAACCTTGGGAGAGAAAGCCCCCCCGGCTTAGTGAAACGTTAGTCACTAGGTCCGTATGTGCGCCGGCTGGACGGCTGGGTCGTGGAGGATGGATATCTGAGATTGGGAACGGGATTGTTGCTTCCAAGGCCTTGCTTTTTTTATTCTTTTCATGCGTTTTTTGTTTCGTTTTTTGGGATGCAACGGCCTTAGTGGGTATGTTTTCTATGAATAAGAAACGCCGTCCTTTTGGAGCTGCCTTACTAGGAATGGGGGCTAAGCATACAGTTGCGGATAACCTGTGTGCTTGCTTGTGGTTATCACGCAAGATGTTGCATGGACGTGCAGTACTGGTGGGGGATGGAAAGTGCATGTCGCATCAGGTGCATCATTGACTCAATTGATGACCCAAAGTGAGCGATTCGATTATCAAGCTTCAAGTCTGACTACGCGAGGGCGACTGCGAGGCTCCTACTCATCACTCGAAAGAAGAAGGCGGGGCACGAACAGGATGCGAGGTATCAATGTGTATTCATCTGCCGGGTTGACAAACGGCGTCGAGATAGACTTTATGAGTCTGATAGCGCTTGCCCACCACCAAATGTGAGCCAATATGCATGCTCCTATGCATGATTGCACGCCGCCGAGCACGTTCTCTCTACCAAGGCCGCTTGCCGGTCATGCGAGGTGTGTGACCGATGCCTCGTTGGGAAACTCATCGCTGCTTTACGCTCCCAACTGCTGTATCTCAGTCTTTGGCCGGTGCAAATCTCATGCAGTGAAGTCTTTGGTCGAGGACGTTCTCCACACCACCTCCTCCTACACCCCTGTTCCGGGGAACGCCCCGTTCTTGGACAGGACGACAATCCCGCGCTCACGCGCGATATAGCCCTTCATGAGGTTCTGCGTACAGGGAAAGCATTAGTCAATCAGGTTCAAACATTGAGGCAAATGATCCTCTGCCAATCAGGCGGGCTTTGGGGACGTCGCGACGACTTCTGACTGCCTGGGGCTCACATCATCGACCTTGTGATGATGCTGCCTAAAAGGCAGCCGAGGATGACGACGAATATAAAATGGTATCGAATGCGGGCGGAAGCGCGTGAGAACGCCAGAGCTTTCCTCCGCGCAACTGACCGAGTGAAGCGACTGCTCTAGGCTGCAGACAGCAGGCTGCCACCACTTGGGCACATAGTCCCGTCACGGAGACAACGAAAGAGATTGCGCCACGTACCTTGTAAATCATGTTGGCCAGCAGACATTCGACCTCGTCGGGATCCACACTCTCCTGGCTGCCGATGCTGATTGCAGCCGCAAACTCGGCGACAGGGACTCTGGTCCGACGGACCGGCGCCGCACCGGGGTCCTTGGCCTCCTCGAAACCGCCGGCGATGAAGACCTTGCGCAAGAGGTTACGCAGCGCGATGTCGCGGCCGCGTTCCAGGGTGAGATAGATCCTGCGGCGTACAAACTCTTCCTCGCCCTCCTGGAGAGCAAGGTCAAAGTTGCGCAGGTCGCCCGTGCGGATGCAGCGCGACAGTGGGAGGAACAGCTTCTGCAGGCGGGGGAACGGTTCAAGGAGTTTGCTGCTTGGGAGGGTGTGGGTGGTGAGGAGATGACAGGGAATAAGGTACGTAAGGATTCTCCTGTGGGCGGGCGTCAGTGATTGGCTTCATGATACAAGAAGATTTGGGAAGACTCGCTCTTGATTGCTCTTGGCGTCCTTATGACAGAGGGACCATGCCTCAGTGAGATGCTTCTCGGCCTGTTGCATGTCAGATGTATACTCGACAGGTTTCGATCCCTAAGGCTCCCTACCTCGACATAGTTCTCCTCGAGAAAGAAAAGTACGCCTTCGTAAAACTTGAACGTGACCCGCTGTGACTTGGGGAATGCCTCCAACGGGGGCATGTCTCCACGGTTCGTAGACAAGGCCTTGAGGATCGTCCGACTAAGGCTGGCGGAGTTAAGTTTGAAGTAGGTCTTGAAGAGCAGGTTGATGACGAAGTAGATGGCCCATTTTCTTGAGTCTTCGAGGGGCGCTCTAAAAATAGTCAGGTCTGAGGGTTTCTCTGAATGAAGGGGTGGATTACCTGTCACTCAAACACAAGGTGAAAATGCGCTTGAGCTGTTGCTCACAGTCGCGGAGCTGCTTCTGCTTCTCCAAGTCGGGATCGAAGTCGTCACCCAGCTCCATAGCGTTGGCAGCAGCGTCGGTGGTGTTGCGCTCCTCGTCCGAGCTGATAGCGAAAAGTCGCAGATGCTTACCTGCGGTGTAAAGACAAGGAATTGTCCAGGCCTCGAATCCGTAATTCGTGTAACCTCGGATGAGAGCGGTGGTGAACTCCTTCCACGTCTCATACACCTTTGTCCATGATGATGACTGCATTGGGTGTTAGTGATGAGGAATGATGTGTATGCGAAGCAGGGCATGGTGCGCGTGAGCTCACCCTACCTCCAGTACTGGAGTCGCCTTCCACTTTCAAGATCTCGCCGATAGCCTTCCAGTAGGCCGTGTAGACCTCTATCCAGCCGTTGGCCTCCTCGTGGTCGAGCTTGAATTTCTTAGATCCAGACCCTCGACCCTGAAGCATGTACTTGACGTCGGCCTTGACTTCTTGGATGTTTGTGCTCAGATAGATGGACCGGAGCCTTCCAGGCTTGTTGGCTGGGCTGAAGGGCTGGAGCGTTTGTGCCAGAGAGTATCCGGATCTGGCCTTGTAGGCGTTGCGGAACTCCTCGAAAAGGCCCTCCATCGCGTACGTCACCAGATGCTATACTGATAGAATCAACGTTGGTGGAGGTGAGACCGGATGATGAGTTCACCACTGTGAATGTCCGTGACGGACAATTGCGGTGACTGAAAAGTGCAAATCTCCAGTCAAGGTAGGTATAGATAAACCTCGCAATTGGTCAAAGACGTCTAGTGAACCGCTTTCCCGCTATGCCTCCTTCTGGGATGTGTCGTCTTCTTTGTGATGCTGGTTCTGTCTGAAGGTCGAGCTGCAATGTGATTGGTCAAGGTGCAACAACCACCAAAGACGTCTCCTGTCAGGCAGCAACAATTTTAGCCGTCATATTAAGGCATCACCGCATGAAAATCTCCTTAGTCTTCCATTGTCCCGTCGACACTGGATAAGTGGGGGCTTGATCAGCCACAGCACCAGCCACATTGATCCCCAATTGCCCCGACCGGGTGCGCTTAACAAAACGCCCCACCCACAGGTCCCAGCCCTGGAAACCGCTCCTTCCTCTCACACAGAATCCTTTTTGCTCCTGGCGCGCCAAATTCTTCCAAGTTTTTCGACCGCGCAACCACCACGATATCGGATATTCGACGACCATCGGCCAGCTCTTCACAGTAAGTCACCAGCCTTACGCAGTACACGACAGTATCATTTGTTTCTAACAGTCTTTCAGATGGGTAAGCACAATTCCTTTTCCCCTCTCCTGGACTTTGGATGCGAACGCGGCGACTTCGACGAACTCGTGCGACCCCGACGACAAAAACTTTTTTTCGATCATGACGTGTGACCTACCGATGGCGACTACGGCCAGGCAGAATGGCGAATGAACACCATGACCACGACACGACTGGAACTTGAACTCTCAGTCGGCTCCTTCGCTGGGAGAACTCTACCCAGGATTGCTCGCGAGGGGCACTTTTGCTCGTGGAGGAATGAGGGCTAGGTCACTCGTGCAGCACAAATCGGTGCTCGGGAGAAGAATGGCAATCACCACACGCTTGCAGCAATTGCCTCGAACACTCAGGACTCGATACCGACGATTCGCATCCATGGGCCGGAGAGTTTTGTGGCATTGGGACGACGCATAACTAACAGATTCTGTTCAGGTCGTCTCACGGAATACGAGGTCATCGGGCGCCACTTGCCCACCGAGTCCAACCCGACTCCCGCCCTGTACCGCATGACCATCTTCGCTCCCAATGTCACGGTTGCGAAGTCCCGTTACTGGTACTTCTTGCGTGGCCTGAAGAAGGTCAAGAAGGCCACCGGTGAGATCGTCAGCGTCAAGGAGGTACGTCGGCCCGCCGTCTGAAAATCTCAAAGGAGTCGAGAAACTGACTCTGTACGCCGCAGATCCACGAGAAGCACCCCCTCAAGGTCAAGAACTTCGGTGTCTGGCTCCGCTACGACTCTCGCTCCGGTACCCACAACATGTACAAGGAGTACCGCGAGATGTCCCGCACCGACGCCGTCGAGGCTCTCTACTCCGACATGGCCGCCCGCCACCGTGCCCGCTTCAGGTCCATCCACGTATGTGCCTCGCGAACACCGCCCGACTGCCTAGACCGGTCCGCTAACCAACCCCAAACAGATCCTCAAGGTCGTTGAGCTCGAGAAGGGCGACGACGTCAAGCGTCCCTACATCAAGCAGCTCATCAGCAAGAACCTGAGCTTCCCCCTCCCCCACCGCGTCGCCAAGATCAGCACCCAGAAGATCTTCAGCGCGAAGCGCCCCACCACCTTCGCATAAAGCGGTTGTTGGACGCGGCGTTGTTTCTCTGGTTTTCGACAAATGGAGGGGCGGGCTACTACTACTGGCAGGTGTTCATTAGGTCTCATTGAACTATCACGTGCATTTGCTCTCTGAAAGGCAGGGGGGCCGAACCAAAAAGAAATGGAATTCAATTCAAAACATCTTTCGAGCATGGCCAGCATGGGGAAAAGGACCAATCCTTCTTGATAGATGAGGGGCGAATGATGACCTGCGTACGAAGCCTGTGAATTATGACTTCTTGATGAGACGATGCGCGGTACAACCCCTTGGATCAGCTCGGCCAGAAGAGGGATGTCATGACGTCCGGCGCCGTCTAGGTAGACCAATGCCAACCCAACCTCTGTAGTCGTCGAGTTCGAGCTTCCCTACAGTGCTTTCGTGACGCAGTTGTGCACGTGGAATACGCGTGATGCCGTTCAAGCCGTCCGGACTGTATGCTCCGACCATTCGCTGTAGACTAGGCAAGCTTGTCTCCGTCGAGCTCGCGACCTTCAAAGAGCCATATTTCTTTCTTTGCAAGATCTGTTCCGGGTGAACAGTCATGCTGGGATCCAGGCATCGAGCCGGCCCAGTGAACCATTTCGAATTCGGTTCTGTGGAGTCGGGTGAGGAATCCGAGTGGGCCAGAGGAAGCACATCGTATCGCATCCTGGTTCCCCTCGCCGTCCTCCGTGACCACCATTTGTTCATTGAACGGGAATACACTAGAAGCAGCAGGCCTTGGCGACTGTCTGATTCCCGAGAATGTTTGCATGTGAGAAAACACCGCCGAGAGGGCCGGCTGGCAGGCAACCACCACAAGACTGGGCCGTCTTCCCACAGCCATCATCCACGCCCGGCTCGACAGTAGTATGTACAATCAGGCAAGGGCAGATTGTGAACCGACACGTCGGAGGCGGCCGATTGCCCGAACGGTGGCTGCGTAGTCTATCAAACTCTGTGCAAGAGCAGGATGTCATGGCTTCCCTTGAGACCTTTGGTCGCCGACTTTGAGGCCAAGCCACGAACCATAATTAATTACTGGCAATTCTCCATGGAACGGGCGACATGTCCCTCTCCTAAAGCAGGAATCTTACCGAGGCACATAAACCTTAATGAAAACGCTTTATAAACGATTACAGCCGTTCAAAAGAGGTTGGGAGCTCTCTGCTCTTCATACAATCAATCGTACACCTTGCTCTAGCTTACATGACTCCTGAGATAAAAGCAGCCCCCAAGCGACGTCGTTGATATAGCCACAGCCCGGCAGGCATCATGTCCGCAGGCGGATATCATCAGCACGTACACCGGAAGCGAGAGTCAAGACTGGTCCCATTTGGAGTATCACAGACTGATCGGCGTGGCTCGTCATATATATCGTACATTTCACTCCAGCACCCCCATCTCGTTGGACGCGTCAATCGTCCCCGGGCGACCTCTCCAGGTTCGCGTCGCTCACAAACTCGTTCCACGTACTCGGGTCCCACGTGAAATCCCCAACGTCCATCTGGATCCCAAAGTGGTTTATCAGGAGCTGCGGGTGGCCCCACAACGGCATGGCCCCAGCGTCCATGTCCTCGAGCGCCAGGCCGTATGCGTTCGGCATGTTCTGGGCGTCCGTCGCCGGCGGCTGTGTGTCGATAGCCATGGGCGTGCCTAGGCCTATGGTGGTTGTAGTCGTGGGAGGGGCGGCCGGAGGTATGGCGGTGTTCCGCTCGGGCGCGACCGCACTGTTGCCTCCTCTGCCGATGCCGATGCGGTCCAGTTTGAACGCCGGATGCAACGCCGGCGCACCCAGACCTGGCCGGGCATCCACCTCGGCATCGACATCTCCATTCCCCTCTCCGTCTCCTTCGACGTCAACATCGATATCCTCGTCCTCGTCCTCGTCCTCGCCATCACCCTCCTCTTTCTTCTCCCCGACGTTCTCCCTGCCAACAGCCGGTGCCGGCTTCTGGTCACCCAGCTTCACATCTCCCATCAGCGCCTCCGCCCGCGCAGCCCTCGCCTTCCTCAACAGCTTCCTCAACGGCCTCCACAGCGTGCCCCTCCTCGTGTCGGCGATCCGGTCCCTCATCCCGTTGAAGTTGCGGTCGACAACCGCCCACGCCCTGTCCACCAGCTCCCCGCGCGTCTGCACGCACAGCTCCGCCAGCGCGACCGCGAGCGGGTGCCACTGCACGTAGCTGTCGATCCACCACCCGAACCGCTCGCGGTACGTCACAGTGCTGAGCTCGACCAGCTCGATCGTGTTTACCGCCGTGCGGAGCATCGTCTCTCGCGCGACGCGGGGTTTCGCCGCCGCCGTCGCCGCCCGCGGCGTGAAGGGGTACTGGGCCGACAGCCACATCTTGAGAATGATGATGCGCACCGTCACCGCGGCGTGGCTGGCGGGGAGGTTGCGGACGTCTTCCTCCTCCTGCTGCTGCGACGGCGAGGCGGGCGTCTTGGGCGGCGCCGTGCCGAAGAGCGCCTCGAGGCGCTGCGCGTGCGCCATGATCTCGTCCTCTGACGTCGTTGTCTCCGGCGAGCCGTCGGCGTCCAGCGCGAGCTGCGGGTGCCTCGGCCGCAAGTTGCCAAAGATGCCCGAGGACATGGACGTGCAGAGACAAAAGGTCATTTCGGTGGGCCCCGTCCGGTCTTCGAGCGGCGTCGTCGTCGATGGGCCAAAGTCGTCGTCGTCGAGGTTGAAGGGCAGTCTGGTGTTGTACGACTGCCGGGGGATGGCGGCGTCCGTGCCGCGGTCCTCGGCGGCGCGGATGTCGAGCACGACAATCATCCACCACAGCCGGCGGCGCATCTCGGCCTCATAGGGCGGCAGGGGCGGCGAGGCGCCGTCGCGGTGGAGATGCAGCGCCTGGGCGAGGCGGACGACGAGCGGGATGAGGGCCCACGAGGCGCGGCTGGCGTTGTGGCTGCGGAGGAAGCACTGTTTTTGTGATTAGCTCGTGAGCTGCCGTAGAAGCGGGGGACGGGTGGGAGAGACTCACGACATAGTTTGTCAGCGCCTGAAGGGTCCTGATTTCCGTGCTGTTGAGAAAGTCTGCCTTTTGCAGCGCCTGCTCGACGCCCTCCCTGTACCTCTGTGCGAGCACGCGCCTCTCCTCGCCCAGGTTGGCGAGACACGCCTCATGGGACAACCCGGTGATGGCGCCAAAGTACATGGAAAAGAACAATGCCTCCGTGGCAACGTCGATGCGTTTGTTCGGCGAGTTCGCAAAGGCCTCCAGCTCGGCCGAGATGGTCGGCCGGTGGACGACCTTGAAGGCCGGGTCAACGTTGGAGAAGAATATCCTGCACATGTACAGGATGTGCTCGCGCGGCGGGTGCTTCAGCTCCTCCGTACTGTGGCAACCGATGCTGGAAAGCAAGCCCGACAGCGCCGGCGGCGTCTGGTCCTGGCCCTGGCCCTGGCCCCGGACGGCAACAGACTCGGGGCTTGCCGTCGTGGTCGGGCCTTCATCTTCGGAAGCCTCGCTCTCCGAGGGCTGGTCCAGGGCCTGCCTCATCCCCTCGACCTCCTGGCAGAGGTTCTCCCAGAACTCGGCGCTCATGTAGTTGGTCGGCGGGGCGGGTTGGAGATCCCACCCCGCCGGTGGCGACATGGCTGCACCGCTCATCTCAACCACCGAGCCGCCGCGCTGGCCGCCGGCCCCCCAGAAAGCGGGGTGGACGCGGCGGCGGCGCCGGAGGGAGTCTTGCCGGCCCCATCGAAGTTGCCAGAGTCGACTTTGCTGACGATGCTCTCTAGACGAGTAATGCGGTTGAGCAGCTCGCTCTGTCTTCCCTGTCGAGGCTTGCGGTTCCGCTTCCGCGAGGGGAAAACACAGTCCAGGTCGGAGCGCTCACACTGCTTGCACCGGGGCTGGAGCTTATCGCATTTGATCTTGCGATGGCGGCAATTTGCGCAGCTCAGCTGCTGCTTACTGCTGCTGGTACCGGTGCCGCCGCTGCTCGGGTCGGGCTGCTGTCGGGCTGTTGCGACCGAAAGCGACGGGGGCGTCATTGTTTGTTTGGTGAGGGTGAGGGTGAGGGATGAGTATTTGCTGACGTTGACGAATGTGGATTTGTCCCCGCTAGCTCGAATCAGGCTCACAGCGTCGTCACCCGCTCTCCTCCCTCGAGTGATGGACAGCGAGGAGTCACTCCAGGTAAGCCCGGCTGATGTCGGCACAAGGCATCGAGATGGTAGGTTGGCAAGGGGACTGCCTTGTGATGCGATGATTGAAATAAAAGGACGACTTGGACCGATGACGGCTTAGAAACAGTCTGGAGGCTTAACTTTCCCTCTCGACGTTCTAGACAATGCTTGGCGCGAACAGGGTGAGACAAGACGAATAGATCGGGGGGTGTCCTTGGGGGTGTTCTAGGTGGGCTGTGAAAGCCCCCCCAAGAGGCTGGTTAGGGATGGTGGTCTGAGATCTGCATTCAGAAGTGAAAATTCCTAAGGGGGCACATCGCCGCAACCCTCCCCACCTCAGCCCGGGTGGAAACCTTAAAGAAAAACCAGAGATGCACAAAAGAAGATGCAGTCCGCGGAGGGTCCGGCCGTGGCTCCCTCAGCTTGCTGCTGTGCCAAGGGCCGTCTCCAAACGTCTGTGACCCCGCGACTGTCGGTGGCCCCAATCGTAAGGCGTTTGTCGGTTCCGGCCGGCGAGACAGCTGAGGCTTGTTTGGGGGGGGGGGCAGCACAGCAAGGTTTGCGCGGGCGGGATGAAAGGGCAGACCACCATATGTCGCCGGCACTCGGCAGTCCTCCGTAAGACTCAACAACAGCGGAGCCTTGCTCGAGTCTCGTCTTCGCTGAAGGGGCCTCGAGAGGCTCTACTCAATTAGTGATAGCGCCGAGGCCCTCACTAAGCAGTCATAAGCGTTATGGGGTTTGTACAATGGGATGACTCAATCTCGAAACTAGATATAACATTGTGCGGAAATTATTTTTGCCTCTGGAACTGTGACAAACTCATACAACTCACCAGTGTACGGAAGAGTACAATTTAGAGAAGAAAGACGAAGGGAAACAAAAGAAGATGGACGTCCAACCTCTCGACTTCGTGACGGTGAAAACCACACTACCAACGATACCTCTACCGCCTCACGCCTCGCGACAACCCGTCGTCACCGAGCGTCTCATTCTGAGGCCCCTCTCTTCACATGATCTGCAACCGCTGCATGTCCTTCGCACGCAACCAGAGGTCATGAGGTGGTCTGCTGCCGGCCGGGTCGACGCCGACCTGGAGGAGACGCGGACCAAGCTAGCACAGATCCTGCCGCCCAATGACGCCGACAACTACGACTTCGCCATCTGCCTGCGGTCGACGGGCGAGTGGATTGGCCTCGGCGGCTGCAAGAAGCCCAGCGGCGGCGAGCTGGGCTGGCCCGAGATCGGGTACATGCTCCTCAAGGACTACTGGGGCAGCGGATACGCGACCGAGTTCGTCAAGGCCTTCCTCGGTGCCTGGTGGGCTCTGCCCCGCTCGGAGCGCGAGGTCAGCGTCGACAAGTCCACCGTCAAGGGGCACCGGGATGGGGAGGTGGTGGACGAGATCATCACCGCCGTCACGGAGCCGGACAACGTTGCCAGCCAGAAGATCCTGGCCAAGTGGGGGTTCGAGAAGCTCAATGTGTGGAGAGAACCAGGCGAAGAGGGAGGGAAAGAGACGATACTCGTCGGTCACGGCATCAGACGCCCGAAGCAATAGTCAAGACGATGTTGTTGTTGTTGCAGTTGGATGAGGGGCAAGGAGGATCGCCAAATCATGTGTTGTTGTAACAGCGGCCTAACCCGGACTTTTCGAGCTTTGAAAGCTTCAACGGTCTCCGGACCTTTGTCGACCGGTTCCTTCAGCCAAACGTAGCCCTAGGCATTGGGGGACAAGATAAGCACAGTGGTATCAGGCAGAACCATGCTCAGTCTTTTCGACAATTCAAACAGCTCCCTGAGCGGTTCAACGGTTAAGGCGGTACGGTGCAAGTGGTGCCGTCAGGTCCGGGGCAGACGATAGCAACAGAGCATTCGGACATTTTGCATCGTCCGCCGTTCCCCCGATCTGGTCGGCGAAAGCAACCGCCGCTGTCTGCGAAACGAACACTGAGCATAAATGAGAAGAAAACCGTCCCAAACCCTCGCTTGATTGCATGCCGTTGAAGAACTGTCATCCGGAAAAGGAACAATCAACAAACTCTGAGACCAATCTTGGCATTTGTGTAAGCCAGCCAGCACTAGCGACTCAACACCCACGCACAAGCAAAACAACACGCATACAATCGCAACTCACTCGCCCAACTCCTCGTCGAGCCCAACATGTCGCAACTCGGGTTGACCAACACAATTGCGACTGCGACCGGCATCTTGGGATGTGCCTGGTGGGCTGGTAAGCAGGCTCCCTCACTCTAGCGCTTCTCGCGGGCATTTTTTTTTTTTGATTTTTTTTTTGGAGGGGGAACCAACGTCAGTCGGTTGCTGACTCTTTGGTCCAGGTGCAACGGCATCATTGTCCATGTTCAGCGTCCCCGCCATCCTCCCGAGCGCCGGCTCGGAACCAGCGCATGCACTGAGGCAGTGGCAACACATTTTTTTGAGCGGCGCGTCGACCGGTCCCAAAGTAGCGCTCGTCACCTTTCTGACGTTGGCCTACTCGGCGTATGACCGCCGTAGCCAGGGCGTTGCGTGGAAGCCGTACGCCACCGCCGCCGCCCTGGGCCTCGCCATCGTGCCGTTCACCCTCATCTTCATGTCGCCGACGAACAGCGCACTCATGGCCGGTGCACAGGGTGTCAAGACGCTTGGATCTTCCGAGACAACGGAGCTGCTGACGAGGTGGCGGGCGCTCAACTTCGTAAGGAGCCTCTTCTCCCTTGCCGGCGCCGGCGTTGGGCTTTGGTATGCGGTTTCCCAATGAGCACCCGGCAGGTCTGGCCCCCTTGATGCAGTATTGATCGTCGCCGTATGGACGGTGAACCATGGCTATGGCACAGAGGTAGATTCATGTAAGATAAAGATAGCACTGGAGGAGAGCCAGCGAGATGGCCCGTTGAGGCCAGTGCGGCAACGCGAGGACAGCATTGGTGGTTATCGTTGTATGTAATGTAGCATAGCATCACCAAACGGTAAAGATGGTACACGCGAGGCGCAATGTACAGCAGCAGGTCCTTGCAAGCCTTACTCGCCAATCTCTGCTCATCCGCTCACCGCCAGATTGGCCTGTCCCAAACCCTTGGCTGCGACTGCATCATACGCAGATGCCACAGCGTTCAGGATGAGACGGACACGCGGGGTTACCAAAGTAGACCACAAGCAGGAGTGCTGTGGTATGTCGGGCAGGGTGTGCGACGCGCCGCCGCGGATCAGCACCCGGTAGCTAGCATTGTCTCTGGGGGCGAGAATGAGGCGAGAGTCGCGGAAAGCTTGGGTGCATCTCGGTGCCGGATCTTTGGTGTTTTGTCTTGGTGGCTACCGGGTTGCCGCCTGCCGTGGAACCGAAGGCCATGGCTCAGAGGCTACGGGCGACACTGTCGTGAGTTGAAAAGATTGTTCTCTCGAGTTTGCCGGTGGTGGGAGAGCCGGGGGCACCCACCGGGGAGTGACGAGATGAGCAGAGTTCGGGTTTTTCGTCCAGCGTTGATCCCTCTGGATCACCGGCGAGCTGGTCCTTTGGGGGTTCCCGGTGCCAGTGCGCAGACAAGACGACGGCCTGTCGGTTCGGTCGGGCTGCCTCAGCAAAGGATGCGTTGTTAGGGCCGGTCTCTCGCACCTTGCAGTGTCCTTGCGCCCAGGAGGCAGAGTCTCCGTCATGGCGGCTGAGCGGCCACCAGCCTCCGCAACAAGGCACATCGCGGCAGCCCGTCTCCAGCAGATGGACTCACCTGGGCATACTTTCAGGCTGCATCCCGGGGTTGGCTGGGCTAGGCAGGGCATCCATCGTCTTCGACGGGCATCTTTGGTCATCCGCATCTCTGGGTCTTTTTTGTTTTTGTTTTTTTGGCGGCCCAGCCTGATTGTAAAAGTGTTAAAAGTCAATGTCCATGTGGACCGGGACCGCATCAGGTTTCCTGTTCATCGATCGGAGGTACCTGTAGTCAGTCAAAAGTCGAGGTGCATTTCGCGTCTAACAGTCAGAACCCAAGACAATAACAATCAAATGTCGGGCAGGCCGAGAGCCGGTGAACATGCCGCATGCAAGCCAGAGGGGGGAAGCGGTGATATTCAAGGCGATTGAAGGAGGAGTCAGATTGCCATGGAAAAAGGGCTTGGGTTGAGTGGAAGACGAGAGAGGCATCTCGAAGTACTTGTAGATTGTGTGCGGATGCAGCGCAGGCTGAGGTACCTATAGGCATGCAACTCCTGGCCCAGTTATTTCCGCCAGGGAATCTGCGCCAGGGTGCACGTGTCAGCCCAACAGCCAAACGTTTTCCCTGTTTGATCGCTATTCTTACCTGCCACTGCCCTGCCCGCCTTGCATCCTGCACGGGGCTGCTGCTGGTCCAGGTGTAAGAGAGAAGGGTGAGAGTGAGAGTGAAAGTGAGAGTGAAGGCAAAGGTGCTGCTGCTCTCCCACTGCTCGGTTCTGCCCGACAGGAACTCCTCCACACCAAAAGAGTCCATCGTGCGTCCAAGTCCTCGGCCACGTCTCCGGCCCCTCCAACCTCCAGGTCGTCCAAACAACAAGGCGCAGGTACCCTGCCTGCCTGAAGCTGTAGTCCGAGTACTTTAGTTACATCATCACCAGCTCCCTGCCCGCCTAGCTCTCGTCGACCAGTCGCATCCTCATTACTCTCGTCTCCCTCTCACTCACTCATCCGTCCTGTCGCTCTTCACACCCACCCACCCAGAGACATATCATCCGCACGCCGTCTCCTCGCGCGCACCCTCTCCTCCGTGGCGCGCCCTCTCGCTCACGTATCCATCCGGCCTTGACTCACGGCTTGGCTTCAGCCTACTTCTGCCTTACATCTTGTCTCGTATGATGATGTTATGGCGCCGGCCCGCACCCAAGATACCCTAGATTATTATTAGTACCTGTTGATGCCCCCTCCCCAGCACGACGTCTCGTTTGCGTCCCAACGCTAGCGATTTGAACCCGTGGGCTACACGACATAACGTCTCGTTTCAACGGCCGCTTGCGCTCTGCCTTTCAACTCGAACGTCCGACTTTCGACGTTGCTCTTGCTCGTCGCATTCCTCGCCAAGTCGACACCGGCCGCGCGATACGTCCTTTTGCCGGTCAGCACACGCCACAACCCGTTATATTTCTCCATCCCATCCGATCTCCACACTTTCTTCCCGGGACCTTCCTGCCCACAAAAACACACCGTTTGATGTAGACTTCGGCCCCGAATGGCGACGGCGACCGCAGAGGCCGACTCGAAAGAGTCCTCTGCTCAACCACAACCCCAACCTCAGACTCAACCTTCCGACCCGAAATCCCCGAATTTCTATGGTTACTTGTTCAGTCCGGACAAGGCACCGACACCCATCTTCGACTCCCTCCTGCGCGCCATCGCCCTCCACATTGTACGTCTGCCGCCGTCCCTGTCTTCGCACATCCCGCTTCCGCCTACCTATTCTGCCCGGACAACCACTGACAACCCCACCAAATCTCTAGATCACCGACATTGGCGACAAACATGTCCTAGCCTTGACCCCTCAGAAGCTGGCCGCCTTTTACAAGGCCGTTGGTGGTGATTATGATTGTACGCAGACCCCCGTCGGCCCCCGCCATGCATTCCGTGCTGACGACCTGTCATCATAGCCCTCTTCATCGACATGCCCTACCCCGCCATATCCTACATCTGGCAGGTTACGGGCTGTCAACACTCCATGCAACCCTCCGACAACGATTTCGACGCCCCTTCCGTTCCGGCCCTGACACTGCGTGGTTTCGTTCGGTGGGAGTCGATAGAGATCCTGTTGAGCCCTGAGGAGCATGTTCCCTTCATCCAGCAAGCCGTTAGGACCTGGAACCTGAAGCATCCCGAAACGGGCGAGCCTTTTCCTCCAGACCTGCCCGCGGAAGCTCTCCCTAGCCAGCCGGATGCCGGAATAGAGAAATGGCACAAGGAGTGCGCCGAAAAGTTGAGGAAGGCGGCAGCACCGAAAGACGAACCTGCATCTCCCAAGACTGCAACCAGCCGCCCAGTAGAAAGAGATGAACCGAGAGTCAAGGCAACCTATGTACACGTTCGCAATCCCTACCCAAAGGCATCGGCCAAGCCTTCGCCTCCTCCTCGGGGCCCGCAAGCAGACTATTTCGCCCCACCGACCCGGCCTCCTGTAGCTTACAGCCATGTCCCAGGGCATGCTGCGAATAGGTACCCCCCTTCGCGTCTAAACATCCCTCGGAGTCCCGAGCAAGATCGTTTCCGGGGACAAAACTCGCCAGACGATCGTCGACGCCGTAGCTTCTCGGACTACCCATCTCCTCCACATGATGCCATGCACGCCGCCTCCGAGAACCTGAACTTGCATCCCAACAGACCTCCCACGCAGCCTCGCAGGCATAGCCAGCCACGACACTACTCGTCGTCCTCGACGTCTGATGCCGACGAACCCGCGAGTCCGCGAACCAAACGGAGGCCCCACACGCATCATTCTAATGAGCCGCCGCCCCCGGGCTTCCGGCGCATGGGTCCACAGTCGGGGCCCCAGCCGCCACCGGCGCCACATGGTCCGCCTCCAGGAGCTCGCATTCACCGTGCCGATCTGAGGCCAGACGACGCGCGTCGTCGCAGTATACCGATCGTAGAGGGTCTGAGGGACAAGATTACTGAGAAGGTGTCATCAATCCTTCCCAACGGCCGGTCGCCGGAACGTCATCGAAGCACCTCTGGCCGCCGAAGCGATCTGCCTTTGCGCCGTAGCCGGGAACACCTGCCATCTTCCAAACTCAACCGCAGTTGGCCTGACATCGCTTCCGAGGACTCAGGAGGGTCGGATTCCGAAGAAGATGAGCGACGGCGTCGTTTTAAAGCTCGGGAACGTAGAGAGATGGAAGAGAGAGAGCAGAGGGAGAGGGAGAGGGCGCGTGAAAGAGACCGTGGTCGAGACCGAGACCGCAGACGCGACCGGGACCGGGACAGAGACAGGGACAGGGACTTGGAACGTGAAAGAGACCGGGAGCGCGTCGTGAACTGGGAGAGGGAAGAGGACATTGAAGCGCGTAGACGGAGGGAGCGACATTTGGTACGGCCCGAGGCACAGCGCCGAACAAGCAGCCACGCCGACGTGGACCGTATGCGAGGAAGGGGCGAGGCCTCATGGGTCCCTCGTGATCGTGAGGTCAGGGATGATAGGAAGCGGTGGAAAGAGCGCGGGACCAGCCCGGTAATCTCTGGAGTTGGAGGACGACAATACCCAACTGGACCGATTCGGAACTAACTTCATCATGGGCGGCGTATCAGGTGTAGCGGGCGATTTGGAGCGACTTTGAATGGATTAAACTTATTGATCAGTGTTAAACTCTAACGACATCGCATATACCTAAACAGGCTCTACCCCGCCCTTTGCAGACTTGACGTGAGCCTGCACTCGATCGCGTGTGTGCGTCCATGGGTTTTTTTCATAGGTCAAGTCGCGTGTTCACTAGCATACATCACACAGCATGCCAGTTTTCGAGGGCGGTGCCGTCCTCACGGTGGTTGCTTCCCTCGCAGCCATCGCGGCGCCTGTATCTGCGACCGCAACTCTGACGGCCGAATATCTCGCTACGGCCGGTAACAGCTCCCTCTTCACCCGCTGGAGGCCTCGCTCTCACTTCCTCTCGCCGCACAGCTGGATGAACGACGCTTGCGGCGCGGTATATGATGCGGCAACCGAGACGTATCACTTGCACTACCAGTTCCATCCCAACCACGTGGACTGGGGCAACGTCTCCTGGGGGCATGCGGTCTCTAAGGACCTGTTTCACTGGACTGACGACCCGCGCCTTTCCCTCGCCTCTGGCAAGTACGCCGCCGGTCCTCTCTCGCAGTTCACCGGCACGACCCAGCCGGTCAACGTGAAGGGCGTCAACGACGGCACCCTGCTGACTTTCAGCACCGGTATCCACGCCTTACCGGTTAACTGGAATCAGCCGTATTCTGCCGGTGGTGAGGTACAGGCCTTATACACCTCTACTGATGGTGGCCACACGTGGGAGGAGGTCGGCACTGTTATTTCTGACCCCCCCAAGGGTTGGAATGTTACCGGATGGAGAGACCCCAACTTCTTTCCCTCGACGGAGCTTGACAGCCTTCTCCAGGTCAGCGAGCCTCACTACTACATGGTCCTCGGCTCCGGTCTCAAGACCGGCGCCTCAAGCTCCGGCTATATCGGGCCTCGGGTGCCGCTCTATACCGCGCCCGCCTCCAACCTGACTCAATGGGCTTTCCTTGGCGCCCTGTGGGAGCCTGTTGCCAACTCGTCCCTTGGCAACCCTGACGTTACTGGGTCCTACGGTTACACGTTTGAGGTCGGCAACTTCTTTAACCTCCCCGCTGGCGAGGAGAAGGCCTGGTTCGTTCTCGTAGGTAGCGACGGCGGTGAGACCAATCAGCATTGGAGGAGCAAATGGGCTCTCTGGAACCGTGGAGACGTTGCGCGCCGTGATAACGGCTCTGTCGAGTTCACTCCCAACTCTGGCACCGCATTAGACTGGGGTATGTCCTACGCACAGGCTACTTGGACCGACAACCACGCCCGGCGCATCGTGTGGGGGTGGGCCAACGAAGACTTTCTGCCCGACTACGCCTTCAATACTTCTAAGCAGTTTGGCTACAGGGGATCTTTCAACCTGCCCATGGAGCTGTATGTCAAGGAGACCACAGGCGTACATAATTGCGGCACCCAACAAGACGGCAACTTTTGTATCGAGAGCTGCAATGGCACCGTCGCGCAGACCCTCGGCATCCGCCCCCTTCCGGATGTCATTCAGCTTCTTCGCAAGGGCACCAAGACCTACGACTTCCAGGTCGGTAAGCTCGTCGACGCCAACATGTCCGTTTCCGCTAACATGGGTACCTCCTACGAGCTGACGGCGACTCTCAGCGACTTCAGAGGGCGGGCCGGCATCATCGTCGGCCAGAGCCCCGACAGGGCCGAGTATACCACCATCGCCTTCGACCCGTCCACCTCGCAGATCGGCGTCCTCCGCAGCCACAGCAGCCTGCTCAAAAACTTCAACAAGGCGAGCTTCGTCGGCCACTTTGAGCCCTACAAGATCCGCGGTGAGGCCGGTGACGGCGCCGCTGCCACGGAGGACCTCGATTTCCACATCGTCCTCGACGGTTCCCTGCTCGAGATCTGGGTCAATGAGCGCTTCGCGCTGACGGCGCGCATCTACCCCTCGCGCAACGACAGCACCGGCCTCGGCTTCTTCGCCGGCGACGCGGCGACGTGGAAGGACGTCAGGGTCTGGGCCGGCCTGGCCAAGGCGTGGCCCGAGAGGCCGGACGATACCAGCGTTCCCTTGGTCTGGGATTCCCCCGAGCAGACGAACAACTACACTTGGTGGACGGGGTACTAGACGCTACAGCAGGAGAGGTTGCACATAATGATTTGCGCACGAGAAATGAACATGTGATGGCATAAGCCTGGGGCCTTGATCCTGAATTTCAAACGTATCGTAGGATATGATGATCACTAGGTTTCCGATTCTGTATAACACCTTAATCTTTCAACTATAGGCTCTGGAAGTCGGGTACGTGCACATAAGATTGACAGTTGGGTATGGGAAACACATTGTTAGATGGAATCCAACGACCATAATATAGAGGGTTATCGAAGATGATTCTTGCAATGAATAGGGCTTGACCCAAACAACCTGCCTACCCAAATCAGAAGACTCCTTTCCAATCATGGGCCCCTGAGCCACTCCGTCCGCCCGCATCAATCAATCCCAGTCATAGTGAGGCTGACGGTTGAGTGGAACGGAAGCCAGTCAAGTACTTGAGCCTCGAAGTCCACTCGACACCTGTGGGCGGATAGGTATCCTCGCGCTACGAGGAGTCTTCCTCGCCCTCGCCATCGGGGGCAACGTCCGTCTCGTTAACGTCCATCGCGTTGTCCTCCGCAGTCATCGCGTCGTTTCCTCCTTCCATCACCTCTGAAGGCTCCATAGACTCCGCTCCCTCGCTGTAGGAAGTCGTCTCCATGGCATGGGGATCCGCCTCGTTGCTCTCAGCAGAGACATCGTCGTCGTCATCCCACGCGGAGCTCAGGAACCGGTCGCTCGGGTCAAAGAGCCCCTCCTTCTGGATTATGGTGAGAAACTCGTCACGAAGGCGGCACCGTGTCTTCTGCTGAGCCACGTCACCCTCCCCGAAGTCCGTCATCTCATAGGGGTGGTTTCCCATAATCTCCGTTCCATCGAACTGCCTCGAAAAGACCACAGCGCCACCTCTAGGTTTCGGCGCGGGGTCACCTCGGTACGAGCCCTGGAGTCCCTTGGCCTTGAAGCGGTCGAGACGCTCCTGCATGTGGAGACCGCGGAGATGCTCCAGTTTCGCCGCCGCGATCTCCTTGTGTGTGACACCCGGGCCAGAGGGTATGCGAAAGCGCGGCTTGCGGGACTGTTCGGGCGCATGTCGCTGCTGCTTGGTAAGGCGGGCGTGGTAGCGACACTCCTCGTCCTTGCGGGTGACGATGCCGATAGTGTGATGTGGGCCGCAGAGGGGTGAGGTCGGGCCGTGGTGGCACTCGCGGAGGGAGGCTCTGGTTGCAAGGAGGCAGCCGCAGCCTGTGTAGTGTCGGTAAATTCGGAGGCACATTTTGTTATCGGTTAGCGGAGATTGTGCTAGGTAGCAAATTCGGTTGTTAGGCCTTTCGATCTTTCCCTTTTGGAATTTATTGAGAAGGAGTGTTCTTGTGTACGATGAATGAACGTGAAGCTATTGAGATACGCGGGGGCTGGCTTCGTCTGGAAACGGTCAGCGATCTTTCCACGAGATAGATGATGGGTTTTGTGCATGGAGAGGATGACATTGACCGCAGAGAGATAAGCAGAGAAGCTAAGCGCATTCGAATAGTGAATGCTTTGCAAGTCGTGAATTAGTTATATCGGTGGGAGTTGCTTCGGCGTTGTTGTAAGTGAGTAGAGGGATAGGCAATGCGTGGCAGAGAAGAACCCAACGGCGGCAGTAATCTACGTAAGAAAGAGAAGGTACGAACCGCATGTGAATATCCAGTTCGCTCAGGGGTGTTGGTAGACGTGATTTGGAGGTCCGTTCAAAGGAGGTCACGGATAAAGTCTTTGGCGGGACATTCATATACAAGAGGTGAAGTGGTTTGCGTTTACACTGTTGTACCATCTACACTAAAATTTCCTTTGGCATCTTGGTCTTTCTGGAACATATAGTATTCCAAATTCCATACCTGATTTCCAAATCTATTGAGAGGGATTCAAAATGTCAGAGATCTAGAGCTTTCTAAAGGTGTCATCTGCCTCTACTGATCGAGGGTATCCCACCTCAACGTCCGTCCTTGCTCCCCTTTTCGATGTCCTCCCTACTCGTATCATCGCTCGTCACGAGCCTCTGCTTGGTGACATGCTCCTGATTCAAACTGTACTTCTTGACCGTGATGCTGATGAGCATACAGAACCCCGCAAACGCAATAAGACTGATCCAGATCGCCCGCAGCGCATCGCAGTAAGCCTCCACCAGCTCCGCGCGCGTTGCGTCCCCTTCCGGCATCCGCTTTATGACCTCCACGACAATGGTGGCGTCGCGCGAGTACTCCTCGGCCGCGTCCGCGAGCGCCGGGACTTGAGCCAGTCTTTTCTGGAACGCGTTCTGGAAGATGACGCCTGAGACGGCGACACCGACCGACTGGCCAAACGTGCGGAGGAACGAGTAGAACGCCGCGGCCTGCCCGTTGAGCGCCGGCTCGCAGGCGGCCTGGATCGAGAGTGCCATGGCGGGGAACAGCATGCCCGTGCCGATGCCAATAGGTATATTGAGCCATACCCACTGTGGAATGGTGGTGGACGGCCGCATGAGGCACATGAGTCCGGCACCGAGAGTCGTGACGACCCAGCCAGACCAGAGGGACCAGCGGTATCGACCCGTGACTCCGGCAATGAGACCAACGACCATGGCGGCGGGGGCAACCGTGAGGGATTCTGGGAGGGCAGCGACGGCGGAGATTACTACGGAATAGTTTTTGACGGCTTGGTAGTAAAGGACTTTAGGGAGGTGTCAGCTCAAACCGTTGTCAGAGTAATTGAAAGGGAGTCACGAGAAGGCTTACCGAGGAAGTAGAGGATAGACCAAAGGATCATGCCGTGAAAGATTGTCATGATGTAGTTGGCGATCATAGTCCAGTTGTTGAAGATACCCTTGTCAATGAGAGGCTCCTTCGCAAAATTGAGCTCCCAGAAGCCAAACCCGACGATGATGAAGACGCCCAGGATCAACGGCAGCAGACATCTGAACGAGGTCCACTCGTACATGACGCCGCCCGTTGAGATGCCGAACAGGAAGCTCGTCGAGCCCGCCGTGAAGAGAAAACTGCCCAGCCAGTCGAACCTCTTGAGCTTGGCGCCGACCTCGCCGGGGATGCTGACCTGTCTGAGGAAGAAGAATATCATGACGACGCCCAAAGCGGTGATGGGGAGGTTTATCCAAAAGATCCATCGCCAGGACACGTTCTGCGCGAAGCCGGCGCCGATCAGGGGGCCCGTGACGGTGCCGACGGACCACACGACCGAAAGCAGCGAGAACCACTGGCCCCGGACGGCGAGCGGGACGAGGTCGGTGATGATGACCTCTGTGAGCGCGAGGATCCCGCCGCCGCCGATACCCTGGATTGTCCGGCCCGCGATCACGACAGTGAAGTTGTTTGCGACGGCGCCAACGATGGAACCCACGACGAACAGGAGCGCCGAAGCGTAGACAAGGGGTTTGCGTCCAAATATGCTACTGAGCCCAGCGATGGTGGGTTGCAGGACGGTGCTGGCTAACAAGAAGCTAGTGCCTGACCAGAAGGCCTCGAGGGCAGTGCCGCCGAGGGCCAGGGACATTGTCGGGAGGGCGACGGAGAGGGTCGTAGCGTCGAGAGCGACAGCGAGGGCAATGGTACAGAGTGCCGCGAAGGCGAGCATGAACTCGCGTGAAGGCTTGAAGACGTCTTTTCCATGTTGTTCGACGTGAGTTTCTTGTTTCTCGGGGGTGACTGTTGGTGGCCCCCGTGGTTCTGGTCCCCTGGTAGCCATCGTGGAAACAGGCGGTGGCTGTCGAGATGTGTTGGTTGCTTATGTGACCGAGTATGAGGTTGAATTCTTGTTACGTATCTATGCATCTGCAGTGTTGATGTCAATATAGACTGGTTGGACTAGGATGTGAGGCGACGGACGGGCTACGAAAGGCTTATACGTCTTTTCTGAAGGAAGGGAGCTCTAAACGGAGCACAGCACCCCAGCCCGCCCCGATTTGGGAAGATGAATACCAACATGCAGCTCATCACTGTCAAGGCGCCCCAGGTGGGGGTAGTGAATGGCAGCATGGCACTGCTTCCGGGTGAAAGCGGCTCAAGATGACATTATCGCTCAACGACTGCGCCGCAGTGAGCCATCATCTTCACCCCGAAGCGCATATCAACATTGTTACGCCGCGTCGGGGATTTCGGTGAATAGTATTGTTAATTAGCTCCGAGTCGGTTGAAAGTTGCAGAAGCGATGAATCACCAGCTCCATGGAATCTGTGCCGGTATCTTCCTCCGATGCGACGCTGTGGTGTTCTCAAGTGTTGCTGTCCGTAGGCATGGTCAGATGGTCCGTTTCAATTGTCAGCACAGTCGGGGTAAGCGCGGGCAATGGTGGATGAGCTGGCTTCGGGCAGACAAATTCCTACGTTGAGCTGGTGATAGTCGAGGTCCAGCGGACCGATCGGACGAAGTGTTATACCGAACGAAGCGGGCTGACGGGCCTGCGATTCGGGGTCTTGTGGAGACTAACCCGGCCGAATAATCGGGCGCATTGACCACCTTGTCGCTAGTTAAGCGAGTAGAGAGGTGTGTTAGACAATCGGCGGCTTAAGAGCCAAGGCGGCTGGGATATCGAGAGAAAAAAACAAGAAAAAACGCCATTGACGAGTCGATTCTTGTGAGCTGCCAACAACCGAATGTTCAACCGAATGAGCATAAAGCTTCGTGAGGTTCGTTGCCATGTGCTCCAGCCAAGATCGAATTTAGGTGATGCCGCCCCGCATCAGAACGAGCCACCCGGGTTGTTCTGTCAGCATGAGAAAGTACTTGACTTTGATTCGTCTCTCAAACTGCTACACTTGTACCAGATTCCAGTATAGAGAAAAGAATTTCAAATCTCATCCCCTCTTGGCCCTTTTCCTTCTCGTCACTCCATCTTGGGTACCTGGTAATCCGGGTAAACATATGACACTCAAGAACAAAAGGGCCAACGAAAGCGATGCAAGAGGGAGAAGATTTGTACTCGGCAGTCATCCGCATCTCGCACTCAGCGGCGCCATATTGTATGACCTTAGGTTGTCAGCGACTGGGGCCATCTTATCCTCGACTCGGTCTTTTTCGTACAAAGCGATTGGCTCAACAGATCAAAGACTGGGATTACAACAGAGGGATGTGTCCTGAGGTTTCCAATGCCAAGTGGGTTTGGACCGAGCGTTCCAAAGCTAACTCCAGTACCAGTCCTGTGGAAACGCCAACCTTGGAGGCGTCCACCGAACACGCCGTCGAGGCCAGGGATATCTACATCGAATGCTACGTACAATCCTGTCGGTATATCAATTGTAGTCACGCCAACATATGAGAAAACCAAATGCGCTCGAGCGAGCTATGGCGTCAAAGTGCAGTGGTTTACCTTCCGAAGTTGAGAAATGCCTTGCAGTATTGGGGCATTATTCTCAACTGATCGAACCAAGGGGGAACCTTGTCCTCAAAGAGCCTCTTAAGCGATAGTTTTTCATGGTGGATGCACGCCATTATGAACCTGATTAATGTTCCGAACATAACCCTGTGAGTTGCTGTGTGCATTCGACTGCCTTCTGAATCTGCTTCAGCACTTGTTAGATCTGCAAGCTAATTTCGACAAGAACGATATTATGGCTTCCACTCGACGATGACTTTTGTGTCACTCACTCAGATGAAAGTGACAGGCCTTTGGTCTCGCAGTTGGTTGCGGATTCAGATTCTGCGAGCTTAAGGCGATTCACTCTTTCCGCATGATCCCGGGGCACCTCGGTCGGCCGAATCCTGCCACCGGGCCATATGAGTCAAATGCAACGGCAGATTTCAAGGTAAGTTACCCCAGATACCATGTAGGGCGGGAATCAACTGCCAGCCTTGTCAGAACCTTGCTTTCCGGCGAGGACGTCCCTATTGGCTGAAACGATCTTGTCCAGTCAATTGATTAGGCAAGTTCCGAGAATCCAGTCAAGGGGTCCTCTAGATCTGCTTCAAAGACCGACGTTTGTGTTTCAGGGCTAAACGACCAGTTCACTCGTCCTTAAGATGTGAACAGTGTTGCCGGAGGGAGACTTCGGAATAAATGCGGAGATGATAGAGAGTACGCAGTGCAAACTAGCAAGCCGAATAGCCAGCCGAATAGCCAGCCAGCCCTTCTTCGTTATCGAGCGCAATGCACGGAATGCTGAACAGAAGAGCATGGAACCCTTACTGAGGCATTCCTAGCCCAACAAGGTCCGCCACCCTAGGCATCGAATGGGAACCCCGGGTCCAGAGCCGTCGTAGCCGTATAGGTTGTTGCCTCGGCTGCAGAGCGTGTGGGACCAGACACCAGGACTCACGTCACTAATTAGCACCTGCAAGTGTCAGGTTGACTCTGCCAGGGCTTGGACGGCAGACCAGGACACGGCAGACTTCCATCTCATAACTTTACAGGCGCCGTTTCGTAAATCGACAGCCCTATGGTGTTCGTTCTACATGCCATTTGGCCTTTCCCCCGTTATCGTTTGACGTGTGAAAGTTAAACAGTGGGGGGGGGGGGGACAACCTCTGAGCGCAACGATCCGATCAGTCTAGCTAGCTGCCGTAACAGTATATCGGCCGTTGTGAAAGCCTGCATGCCTAACGCTGAGAAGTCTGCAATCCTTTCAGTAAGTTAAAGCTGCACGCAGAGATTTTCCGCGGCAACCCGATCCAGATTCCTCGTCATCTCGCGATGATAACGAGGAGTGTAGGTTTGGTGTCCAGCAATGCAAGCATCCTGACAACTGGCATGACTCGAGATCAGGCAAAGTTCAACCTGCTTCGCGTTTTCACTGATCTCTGCGCGTAAGAGTGTGAGTTTTCTCATGGAATACTGTAAGGCTCATGTCATGGTTGGTGAACGCCGAATTCGTTGAAGTCGAAGTTAAGCACGTAGCTATTGTGCGGCTGAGATGTTGAAGTGGGCCTACCTGTTGATCAGCATATGGACCCACCAACCTTTGAAGGATAGGTAAGGTACGTAACCAATCGTTCCTGGCCAATGTGGTGTGAATTACATAAGCGGACAATGGCAGTTCCATGACCGTTAAACGGCGTGAGCAATACCTCGAATCGGGTTGTTTCGTTCTTGAAAACACTCTGATCCCTTTCGTTCTCGCGGACCAGGCAAGCTGCGACGCGCGGCTTACGCACTCTTATTCGGTTCGAGTATGGACTAAACAATGATTTAGACTGAGACATCCTTATGTCGTTCTGTCCCACACATATCAGTTCGATGGAACCCAAAGCATTTGGTTACACCACGATGTCGACCTTTGGGCTGGGTGCACAACAAGTATAAGGCATTCACATATATCAACGCTCAGGATCCATTAACATAATTGAGAAGAGAAGCAATAGGATGAAACGATTCCATCAACCGTGATGACGAATGAACGGAGCTACTCCACGCCGTCAAGTGTCGCATGTGTGTGGGCAAGTTCCTGACTACCAGACCGCCGGAAATGGCGACTCAGCAAACGTTATCAAAGCTTGCCGTCCGACTCAATGGCAGCGACCCCTTCCGGCTGACATAGTACCCTCTTCCGTGCCTACGACCTCTTCCATGGAACCTGCGAGCCGCCCGCAGAACGAAGCATCGCCAGCGGGGTGACGTTTCAGCCCCGCGGGATGCGAACGATCCGCCATGTTCCATGCTGCTGATCTACCTTCTTTTTGACGTTTGCCGACCCCGGAGCCGGCGTCGGAACCGAAGACAGTTTTCGAGTTTGTGGCTTCTACCAAGACAGCTCGTACTGACAAGGTCCAATGGTGCGACCTTTGCGGTCAGACTTGGGCGACCCTTCGACTTGAACCGCCCCTATTGGAATGTTTAGATTGACAAGCTTCACGAACTTTTTTCTACTTGGTCGGTTGGCAGAGTCAGGGTTTAGCTCAAATGGCCAACGAAAGGGCCCATGGGGCCACCGCCTCAACGGAGCACACACACACGCGCGCGCGCGCGCACATAATCACATTCTTGACACCTGTCTGAGGTGCCATCTATCGAAGGGCTAACCGACGAACCGGGACGTACCCTCCATGGTTCCGCTAAGATGCTGGTCGGTGTTCTCCTCCTCTGGAACAATTCGTTGGTAATCTACGCCGTCTCAAACAGAATGCGCACGAGCCGATGTGGCCACCCATGATCACTGCTGCCGGTAAATTGTCACGGCTTAGCGGCGCATGAAACAAACCTTCGGAATTACCAGACAACATGGGCTGCATACTGCCCAAGCCAAGGCCACCCGAGATCGCGTGTTCAACAACGGGGTCGTCCCATTTAAACGTTTGAGCTCCAACTGTCTCCTAACGCGGCGTTTAGCTGCCACAGAGTTTCGCCGGCGTCCCATCGGTGATCCAGCCCTTTAATCTCTCTGCTATCGACCAAGCATTGAGCTTGTCAAGTCAGCCTTGGAACGTTGGATTCCCATCACAACGCATGCAGTTCATTGCTATGACTTTAAATTTTACACCCTCCATCCCACTTTATCCTTCGGCTTCCGTGTCCGGCTGCAACTCGACAGTTGACCTCGGAACCTGATGCTTTTGTTCTAGAGACTTGTGAAAAAGATCGGCCCCTCCCGCCCTTTCACAACTTCCTTCTGCGTTCCTTTCCATGCTATTTCCTGCAGCCCCTTTTGACACACCGTATCCTCATAGCAACCATGGTGAACACAGGAAAACCATCGGGCGGCTGCAAGCTGTGCAGGGCTAGAAGGATCAAGTGCGACGAGGGCAAGCCGTTCTGTATGAGATGCAGGAAGTCACGGCGGCAGTGCCCAGGCTACCGTGATCCTTTCGAGGCAAACATACGTGACGAGACCGAGGCGACAATCAAGAGATTCAAAAAATCGAGAGGGGAGGACAGCTCAGATGACGAAGGCAAAGATATAGCCCCGATTTGCAACAAACAGTGCTTGAAGGCGGTTGCCGGTCCCAAGTATAAGACATTCGACTACTCCAACCTGGCCGCCTTTCCGTATCACAACGATGACGACACCGCTGAAGAGGACGAAGACATTCCCATGTCCGTGTTTGACTCGCTCGATGAACAGGCCTCTTGTTACTTCTTATCCGAATTCATCATTGTCCCGCATACGCCGACGGCTCGGGGCTATTACCGTTTCCTGCCCCGTTTTCTGAGCGGACAAAAGGTCTCCAAATGTCTCTCCCAAGCGTACAAGGCTGTGTCGCTGGCAGCACTGGCAAGTCGCCGTAATGTCAATGCCAGTGCTGCCCTATTCCACGCGCAAGGACACTACGTCCGGGCTGTTCGAGCCGTCAACAAAGCAATCATGGACCCGCAAGAGGTGCTGAACGACCAGACGCTCGGCGCTGTGTTGATGCTGGCGTTCTACGAGGCATGGGTTTGCCAACCTCCCCTGTGGGAGTCCCAGCTAACACATTATAGATATTGACGTGTTCCCAAGATTCCATCGCTGAATACACCAACCACATGAAGGGTGCCGCTATCATCGTCAAGCTCAGGGGCCAAAAGGGCCTCGAGACACCCGAAGGCGAGGAGATGTTTGCGATAACTCGGAACCAATGTCTCTCCATCCACTGCCTCCCCAACTCTCCCGAGGTCTCCGAGTTCACCTGGCTTTTACACCACGAGTGCCGCGGCCGGATGCAGCATGCGATTGCCAGCATGGATATCCAGAGCAGCCAGATCAGGCAGGACGTTGACCGTCTTCTGGGATCCGGGGACCGCAAGCCCGAAACGATCCAGAAGGTCCTCAATGCCTTGAAGCGCGCTCAAGCCCTCGAGACCAAGTTCCGCAAGCTCAACAACGACCCGAGCCCACAGTGGAAGGTCGACACCCTTGAGTGGATCACCGAACGATCTGATGAAGAGCTCGACACCGCGCAGACGTTTACCGGCCCAGTGTACGGTTTCTTCAACCTGCCTTTGGCCGTCCTCCACGTGGCCACCTGGTGCTGTCATCTCATGCTCACGACCACGATCCTCAGATGCATGGCCTGGCTCGTTTCACCCGACGAATACCGTGTGGGCGAGGAATACGAGGAACTCAAACGCTCGGCTCAACTGCGCATCGAGGATACCACTGCCGCGACGCCCTACTTCTGCAAGTGGAACGGCTATGGTGTCGTCGTGTCCCAGTTCCCGGTTGGCAAGACCAAGCCCGATGACCCGCTCAAGGGTGCGGCCGGCCTGATGATCATTTGGCCACTGGTCACGGCGTGTAGCAGCGACTTTGCGACCCCGAGACAGAGACGTTTCCTACGGGGTCGTCTCAAGTACCTGGCCGAGGTGGCCGGCATCAAGCAGGCCAATGTCTTCTACAACGTAAGTGCCCGCACATGGCATATCCTCCCCTGCCCCGGAAGACGCTGACCCAGGCTCAGATGCAAAACATATCATCCCCGTCCAGGGAAATCGAACGAGACCGCAATCAGGACGTCTACTCGCCTTCGTGACGAGAGAATCTGCTAAGCTTGCCCTTTTGGTAATACTCGCGACCATTCAATTTCCATTTATTCCGACGTCCCACGGCAGAAACTTTTGCGTCTCTTTCCGGTTTTTACCGAGTCATACATTTCTTAGCGTCAGCGAGCGGATAGATCAGTGGTTGTTTTGGGTGGTTTTTTCATTGCCACGTGCCCATTTTTCTTCGTCCTTTACATTGTTGGTATCTTTGTGGGCAAGGTTGGTTGATCGTGCGGGAAGTATGACTTAGATGATCGGGCACGATGTTATGATCGGTATGGGCGAAAAAAAGGGACTCGGGCTGTTCAGGAAAGACTGAAATTTCACAGTAAAAATACAGATTACCTTTTTCTTCTTGAAAGCTGTACACGGCACAGAGTGAGACGGCCCATCCTTGCATGCCTTTTAGTGTTGTCCAACATCCAACAAGATGAGACGCAAAACCCAACGAAAGAAAAGAGAAGAAAAAAATCCAACACCCAAGCAGCCCGCAGAAGCAGATCCCGGCGCCCAAATCATAGTTGGTTGAAGTACTCCAAATCTCCCCCTTCATCAAGACGGATCAAGATTCCTCACCTCCCGCGCCGCCCAACCCCGATCCTCTCCTCCCTCGTCCTCCCGCCGCGGCCCCATCGCCCGGCGTAGGCGTCGTCTGCACGGCGCCGGCCCTGCCGTGCTGCTGCGTCCTCTGCGCCCTCATCATCTCCTGCTGCCGCCGCAGCAGCCCGTACTCGTCGAGGCTCTCGTCCTCGTCGTCGCCCTCCACCGTCACCATGCTCTCGTCGTTGAGCTGTTGTTGCTGGAGGCGTTGCATCTGCTGGAGCTGCTGGAGCTGCGCTTGCGTGTGCCGTTGCTGCTGCTGCTGCTGCTGTAGTGGCTGCGGAGAAGAAAATGGCTGCTGGGCTTGGGGTTGTTGCTGGAGGATCCGCTGCTGCTGCGCGGCGATGGCAGCTTGTTGTTGCGCCTGCTGCTGAGCCTGCTGGGCCTGTACGAGGACCTGTCGCTCGCGGAGCATGGCCTCGCGCGCGCGGCGGTCTTCGTAGGCGGCGATGTCCTCGGCCGTGATGGCGAGGGTCGTCGCGGGGCGGCGGAGCATGGTCACTGGGGGTGTGGGGGGTTGGAGGGTGAAGATGGACCGAGACGGGTTGCCTCGGAAATGTGTTGCCGGCGGGGACAGTGAAGTTGAAGCGGGATGGTAATGAGACCGAGTGCGATGAGATGTGATGATGAGATGAAGAGGTTGTGAGTGAGTTGCAGCGTGAATAGGCGGGGTCTGTCTCTATTTTGTCCCGAGCTGAAGGCACTAAGATGGGCAATCAAGGCTGAGAATTATGAGGTGGTATCGCTAGGGGGCCGTTTGAGGCATCGACAAAAGGTGATGGTCGCTCAGCAGGCGTTGGTGTCGTCTCCAAGGCGCGGCGCAGCAGCTGAAGAAGAGACGGGCCACAGAAACCGGTCACGAACCGCAGCGGGATGATGCGAGAGCAATCTTCTGCAACGGAGTAGGCAATACCTGACGATGATCGTGGGGGCGTCTGCCTTTGCCGTGGGTCCGGTCGTCAAGCTGAACGTCAGTTGGTGGCTTCTGCGTGTTGTTGGTTCGTTCGTCAAGGGAAAGTTCGGCGTGACCCCGGGAGTCTGGGCGACGGCGCGTGAGTTTGGTCCAAAAAAAAAAAAAAACATACACACACACACACACACACACACACACGCACGCACATGGATGGTGCGGGCGGGTCTTGCCGGGGCCAGCCGTGGCGGGGGGTTCGCTGGGGCCGGCTGGTGGGGCCTATCGGGGCCTATCGGGGGCGGCGTTGGGCGGCCGTGTGAGGCGGGAGACGGTGACACTGTAGAAGGAGTCAGCCTTAGCGGATGCAACGGATGCATAGCATTCCAAACGTTGGATTTGCAGTCGGCCGTGGATGATAGAACACTGCTTCATGGCATCGCTGACGCTTGCCCGAAACGCTCAAGGTAGCACGGCATATTTGATGTGGAACAGCAATCGAGTAGAATGGCATTATCATTTCATTGTATTCTGTTAATCCGACCGTCTCGAGTGATAACCAGAGCTCCGGGTCCATGCAGGCCGTGTAAAGCGCCCTTTCCTCAATAAACCCCTATTGCGCAGACATTTTCTGCCTCCCACCTCAGGAAATCCTCGAGGTCATGTCCTAAATTATACCCCATCGGCACCACCTCTACCTCGCCACTGGAGTCCCTCATCATGACCAGGTCCATCATCGGGCTGGGCGGCAGCGTCTCGACGCTCTCGCGGTTGTATCGTTTGGGATGGCCCTCCAACGTCCACCGCCGGATGCCGCACTCTGTCGTCGAAAATTTGGACGCGTTGACGCTGCCCTCGTTCCAGAAGCCTGTGGGGTATTCCGCCCTAACAGGTATGGGCAATTCGCTGTCCGCCGGTGCGCTGATGTGTAGGTTGGGAGGAGCCGCTGCCCGGGTGGCGCGTGACTTCCTGGGTGCGCGTGTTCGTTTGTCACTGGTGATCAAGATGCCGTGATTGTCGAAGCCGAACTCGTCGAACCAGGCAGCCAGGTCGGCAGCCTCTTCATTCTCTGAGGGTTGCGACAAGTCGGTCGGGTCGGAGAACAGGTATCCCGCCCCCCAAGAATAGCCATCTGGAAGGCGGTCCAGTCAAGTGTGTCATCAGGATCGAACCTCTTTCCCTTGACTTCCGATTTGGGAAAGCGAATATGCCCATGTCGGATTGCAGGGTGATTCAAAGTGTAGTTTGTAGATTGGAAGAAGACAAAGTCGTCTTCGTCCACCGGGGCGAAGTATCGTTCTGCCGATTTGTTGCTTTTGTCAGCTAGGCTTCTCCCGATCTCTGGTGTCGTGACGACGACTTCAGGAATCGTCGGCAACAGAGGCGCTTGCGGCCGGGCCAGAAACCTTGCCGGGTTCTTGGCCGGTGGAGGGGGCACGTTGGCTTCGGCCTCGTACTCTTCCTTGGTCACGGGCTTCTTCCTTCGTGACGACTTCTTCTTCAAGGTGAATCCCGGTCCCTCTGCTAAACCGGGGAGGTCGAGTGGTACAACCACGTCAGCACGTGGCACCGCCGTCTCCACCCCCGCCGCTCCTATCCGAGAAGGGAGGTCCTGGAGGTGGAACGGCTCGACCGCCGTCTCGCTGTCGTCGGTGCTGATGGTCCTCAGAGTGTCGCTCGATCGGCGTGGTCGTGCTTGAGCATCTCTCTCAGCCCGTATTGCATGAAGCTGATCTGGCGTCAGAAGCTCGTCGACTTCCACTCTGCGGAAAAATTGCCCACTGATAATCCCGGCGACGTCCTCTCCCAGCTGCCAGCGAGTAGATTTCTTAGACTTTGTCTTGAACTTTTGTGATTTCATTGACTTTTTCCTTGCCGGTTTAGACGATTTTGGCGTCAAAGTGTCGAATACTGGACGAGGCAGTGCCGGTGTGCTCTTTCGAGTCTGTACCCTTATAATTGGAGAGTTTGGTGACTCTGGCTGGAGAGGACTAGGAGCTGATGATGTAGATGTGCGACCGGCATCGGTAGGCGGCGGCGGGAAGGTGGACACGGCCGTTTTCGCCTCTTCGATGGCTGTCCCTACAGCTTTGAAGGCCTCGTCGGTTTCTCGGATGAGGTGTTGAACGTCTAAGGACCACCCGTCCAGGCCGTCTTCTTCTACTTCTTTTGGCGACGGCGGAGGGGTCAAGCTTTCTCTGAGCGCGGGGTGAGACGATAAGTCTATGGCACCAGCTTCGTAAGCCTTGATATCAGCCTCTGTCGAGCTGGGCCCGGATATGGTGTCATATGGCGGTGACAAGGGAGAGATCCAAAGATGTCTGCGTTCTGCGAGACGTTTTGGTGCTGAGGACAGAGTAGGTCTCTCTTGCGTCTCAGAGTGACGAAGGGTGCCATGTCTGCTAGTGGTCAAGGCTGTGTCTGTAGGACACTCGCAACTACACAAAGAACTCGAGGACGAATGTGGTGATCCCTGGGGGCAAGGTTCTTTGCTCGGAATTCTCATGATGCTTTGTGAGCTTCGTACGACGACATCCTGCCTCGAGGGCCTTTTTGGTTGGGATTGGGGGTTGGAAGGCTGTATGTTTGGCGCCCAGGACTTAGATTCCTGCTGCTTCCGTCGGGCTTTGAACAGAGAAAGGTCCTCGCTCCCGATAGAGTCCTCCAGGTGAGGGTACTCCTCGATCGTGTCTGAGCGGCGAGGTGAGATGAGCTTCCGTATGCTGAAGCTCGACCGAGACATACTGTTGACGACGTGGGCGTACAAAGGGAATCATGCAGCAAAGTTAGGAACAATATGAGTCAACGCGACTGGTACAAGACATATAAGAGGATACGAAGGGAGAAGAGTCTCTTGAGGCCCTTTAGCGAGTGACGTGACTGCAAAGGAGATCCATGACCGGGGGGGGGATAGTACACGAGCGTAGTGGGAGGGGAAGAAACGAAGCTATCTGGGGTGATGGGCAGAGGCCGAGAGCTAGCTGTATGTATATTGTTCTGGATCTGCATGTAGGACAAACAAAAGCAAGCGATTTGGGGGCATCTTGGACCAGCTGATGATGGTCCGTACGAGATACAGTGCTCATCGAGTCAGGTTGGGGTGTTGGTCAGGGAGCCCGTCAGCTTGGAGGGGCGGGTCCGCGCACCTATTGACAATGCGATGGAGGGTAGTAATGGCAAGCGGTCGTGCGGCAGCCGTGCCGTGTATGCATGTTGCGGCGGTGCAAAAGGCCAACCGAGCCCCCTGCTACTCGTGCAGGCAAACTGCTGTGTGAGGGCGGAGGCCTGGGGGCATCCAATGGATGGATACCAAAATAACAGGTGCCGGTTAGCGAATCAGCCCCCTCGGTTGCTATTACTGGCATTTCGTGCCTCTTAAAAGCCCTTTATTTCCTCAGGGAAGCGGCCGGGAGACGCGGACAGGGTTTTTTTTTTTGGGGAGGGTGGTGGGCGGCCCCAAAGGGAGGGTGACATTGCATCTGTTCGTCGCCCGCCATTTCCAGTGTGGGATATGATTGTAGCAAACATGCTATGGTACGATATCCACAGTTGCTTTGCGGACAGGTTTTGGACCCCTCGTCGATTCGTTGCCCCTTGTCGATGGTTCACTTACCGATTCCGTAGTATCGTACATTCAGCCTTATGAATTAGTAGACGCCGTAGCTGCCGAAGCAATGTGGAACATCGCGGTTGGCGTGGGCGACGTGTTCGGCAGGATTCGTTCCATCTGACTATTGGAGCAAGACGTCACATCCAACAAAAGGTCGTCGGTCAGCTGCAGACGCGAGCGAGATGCGACTCGATAGAAGACCTCGCCGTGCGACGACGCAGGCGGCGACGTGCAGAGGTGCGCGGCCAGTTGGATTGAACCCGGCCCATCTCCCTGGCACGGAACTCGCCAGCCACGAGCGAGAACTTGCGAGAGAGCCGAGGACAAGGGATTTCCATGTTGGGTCAAGGCATGACAGAAACGAACAGGCGACGCCCAGAGGATACGATCTTGACATGGCGGAAATCGTCGAAACATTGACAGCTCCAAAGCTGCCAGGGAACCGGGCCGTGCTCTGTCCTGTCCGGCATTGACAGAAGATGCCGCGATGTCCAAGAACGGCTGTCTGCCGGGTGCAAAATGACTGCTAGCTGGCGCGTCACAGCAGTAGAAACCTCGACTGCTGAGGAATCCTACCCTCACCGGGTGATCAGCACTTGCCTGACCGCCGTTGGGACAACAGCAGCTTGCCGATGTCAGTTGGTGGGTGGTCCCCGTATCTTCCTGGTCGATGCAGGCAACGTAGCCCTCGAGCATGCGAATGCCTGGCTTGAGCCTCGATGAAAGAAACCAGGATCAAACCCGACGTGCCAGCGTCGACCATTCGGTATCATCCGCTCCCAACGATCCCAGGCAGAGTTGCAGAGCTTCTAATGCCGAAAGAGGGGTAACAGCGAGTGGATGCTATGGAATAGGGCCCGGGGGAGAGAAGTGGATATCCAACCGCACTCTTCTGCGTGTTCCCGTGAACGCGACACAGTAGTGGAAGACGAGAGAAGGGGCTGGTTTCAGACCCAACATGCGTCGAGTACAAACCCTTCACCTGCGGCAGTGACACGGGTGTTAAAAGTTCCAATTCTGCAGGTCTGTTCATCTATTAGTCAGGCCAAGAAGTTGGCCTGGCCGGGCCGACCAGTGACAAGGGGAACCGGTTACTGCGTCCTGCCCCCTGCCGGTCGTACTTCGACCAGGAACATGATCTGCCAGTGACGTCTATCATCTGCAATTTGATGGGCTGCTGACGGTTCTGAAGAAAGAAGCAAAGGGCTCGTGTACGATGCTTGAGCAGGAAGTTGACCGTGGCTTGATCTGGGCTGCGTTGCGAATAAGTTGGGCCTGGCTTAGCGGCCGCTCGTTGCCCCCACAGTTGCCCGCTGGCTGACGTACAGACCGACTGAGCCCTGCTAGGCTTGCCCTTGTCCTTGCCTCGATACCCCGTTACCGCCCTGGAAAGCCTGGCAGCTCTGATACCTACACACACACACACACACACACACACAGAGACCTGCCTGGCCCCTGCAGGAACACCCCTTGTGCCTTGATCCAGCACGTGGTGTTGAGGGGACTCGAAAGTACTTTTTAGTAATTAATTCTTGCTCATGTCTTTCGACTCCTCGAACGGAGAGAATCGGGCAAGCCCGCCGGCCATTGATTTCGTCATCCAACTACAGCAAGATTGTGACTGATTGAGTAGTTGAATGCTTTGCTTTTTTCTTTTAGTTCGACATCGTCTTCGAGAACCTTAAAGCCCATGTTTTCCCCTAATCTCCGAGCTGTCTTTCCTTTTCCTGATCACCGTCAGAGTGGCGCGATTACCGCTGGACTTACAGAACCCTCTCGGAGACTCAAGTGACCGTCTCTCCGTTGACTTGGGCGGGTGTCCGCGGGTTCCAGCATCACTGGCACCTGAACTCTGTCAAGCCAAGATAATCTCTAAAGCTGGCCATTCTATTTCGGACCTCGCGATGGCACCTTGGCCTGCCGCCCGCAATATACCCCGGCCTACCTTGTAAACCCCCTGCAACTGCGTTGCATTGCCCCAAAGTCTCCGGGGTTGCAATCAGGACTGAGACACCATGATTCGCCCTCTTAGCTCGACTGTTGCTTTTTGCCGTACCGATCTCTTTAATGCAGAAAGATGTCGGCCTCGGTGGTTGTCCATGTACCGTTGTCTGCCCGTCCGTACTTATGGATTGCATTTGAGCCCAGTGCCTAGCTTGTAAGTGTAGTATAGAATCCCAGGCCGTACGGACGTAACAGACCTCGTCACCCAATCTTGGTATTAGGCAATGCTCACGACACCTGTCAACGTTATAGATTCGATCTTGCCGAGGATGTCACGCAATGGCATGTCCCAAATTTGAGACTCTATGGGCGGGCAGAGTACCAGAGATTGATGGGCAAATTCTAGATGAGGTTGGTGACAGGCGGTTCTCCTGGGCCAGCTTGATGTTGCATCTACCACTTCTTCAAAACATGCGGGAATGAATCAACCTATATCGGTGTTGGACAGCAGCCTTGCCTCACTCTTATTTCAAACGGAGCCTCCAGTTTATTGGCTGTGACTCAGTCGTTAATCTAGCACCCGAGGTAGACAGTGTAACATTGGAACACGTTGACATCATTGGTGTTGGTATTGATATGACATTAGTTCGATTGGTCCGGCTATCGAGGCCTAATCGTGTAATTATAGTACGAGTAGTTGCGCTGCCAAAAGTTTATCCTCCTTGCCATGTTCATCTCGATGGCCCAATTCTCAACCTTTTTTTGGTAAGAATGATGTTTCTTTCGCTACAAAAGAGATGCGACCCTTTGATGGTCTATTCCTGGAGAGCCCTTTGCCATCCAAACGTCTGCCTCTTTGTCAAGCGACAAGGGCGAACAAGTGCCATGATGATGACTGCATGAGAGATGCGTCGACGAGCCCCAACAGTAAGGATGCCAGACTGGAGGGTCCTATATTTGTGAAAGTTCGGAAGTGTTGGATCCAAGGTAAGATGCAGTACACTTATTATTGATGAGGTGGTATGGTCGGTTGGGCCAATGAGTTCTGCTGTTCATGGGCCGATGAGTGTCGGCCTAGGATAGAAGCGAACCGAGGCGAGCGACTTTTCCGGGTATCGATTTTTTTTTTAGTTCTTGGGGGTTGGTTGTGGAGAACATCATAGATCCTTCACAGAATCTCGCCGTTCTTGCGAATCTCCCTGGAAGTGGCCGTTTTCATAAAGGATCTGGCTGCATGCTGCGGCACATACGCCGCCCTCTTCGGCTGCTCGGCCATAAGGTGCTCCTGCTCCTCCAGAGTGCCCATCGATGTCAGGGAAGCCAGAGAACCGCTACGACTATTGGGCCCCGACCGCGAGGACATCGAGAAAGAGGATTTGCGGGATGATGATGAGGAAGAGGAAGAGGATGTAGAGGAGCGGCGGGGCTTGAAGGCATCAACCCACGAGCCGACGTGCTTCTTGGACCACATTGGGAAAGAGTATTCGACGATTCCGAAGGATCCAGAGGTGTTCATTGAATGGAAGAAACAAGGCAAAGACTTTTTGTTGCGTTGTGCTTTGTGTTGTGAGAGCGTTGTGTTGTTGTGTTGCTGGGAACGGGAATTGGAAGGGATGATCCACGAGGTTTTAAAGACAACAGAGCAAAGGAAACCGATTTGGATTTGGTGATGGTTCAAGCGAGTGAAAGAAAACCACGCGAGATTACAACGATATGCCGGCGGACACAGGTCGAGCCGAGATGCTGGGATTTTGGGAGGCGTTCAAAGAAGGTCGAACAGAAGTGCAAGGGAAAAAGAGAGTTCGAGCTATGAAATCCACAAGTTAATGATAGGAACGTCTAGTACAGGACCGGATCGCGATGGTACGTCCGCAAGAGGCGGAGGGCTTCCGGAAACAGGCATCAGATATATTTTTTTCGATTGGAGAAGCCAGAGAGGCTTGGGGGGGCTGTCGACAGAGCTTGACAGGACACCAGGACGACAAAGATTCCAGTCGATGTGGCACCGCAATCCCTTCGCATTCTGTCTTCTTGACCGAGACATCAACAAGTCCGTCCCAACGCCTCGTCAACGCCTTTGCCGTTTGCGATCAAAATCCCTGATGGCCCCTCTTGTTAATCCACCGTGTAAGCCCCGGGCCCCGTCCAGCCGGGAAGGGCCCCGTCCAGTCAGTCCTCTCGGAGGCTTGGCCCGATGGCGTTGGAATGTTGCACAAGGAATGGACCTTCACTAAACGCCAGTCGCGTCATTCCCATCTCCCCATCCCGTGGCTGATGGCCTCTCGTCCTCACCGGGCTGCAGAAGCTCCCGCCATCGGTCCTTATTTGCGTAGTGTCAGCCAGGGCTATGTTGACAGCCGAGTTGTCATTTCTAGGGAGGTGCTTCGAGGCGCTCTGTAGGCTCGAAGCCCTTCAAGGAAAGGCTAGCGGCACACATTATTCACCCTAACCTCGGGAATGCAGTACGATTCATTGTCAGGCTTGACGCAAGCGGAAGGCCAGAAGTGGTCTTGGATAAGGCAAGGAAAATTTTTGATTTCGATGGAATGCTCCTGGAGACATTGTCCTACCGGGTCTTACCCACGTACCAGATGGGTCCTCTAACCTCTTCGCATCACTCGTCCTCATCATGATCCTCTTCATCCTTGTCGTCCTCGTGTGTGATATAAGGCACGAACCGAAAATCCAGAAAGCTGACCCCGCCGCCTTCCACTTCCACCATGAACTGCAAGCTTAGAACGCCCTGGGCATCGCCGCGGAAGCTAATTTTGCTAGCGATCCGCATCGCCTCGCTCGAAGACTTGATCAGGTCGAACTTGTAGGTCTGGGTCCAGCGATCCTGGATTGAGAAGGTCTCCAGTAGCTCGCGGCCTTTAGCGAAGTCTACACTGGACGAGCCGAGATCGCCTGCACCAGAAAGGGTAAGGTAAGGCTGTGTTTTTGAGGCTGTAATAGTAAGGCGGCTGGGGCCAATGGGGGCCAGCTCCGCTAGGGCGTCGAGAAGGTAGCGAGCCTGCATTATGATTTTGAAAGAGAGGTTTTCTCGGTCAAAGGGTATCTCCTCAGGGATTTCCGGCAGATAGGTCGTAAGGCTGGCAGTGGTTTTGACTCCGCTTTCCTCGATGACGATGTTGAACTGCCCACCCTCTTCGGTATATACTAGGCTACAGGTACCCCCAATTCCCAGAGTCTGGTTACTAAACGCATCTGGTCGGTAGTTGCGGAGGTTGCTGCGGTATGGGTCCTGCTCGGCCTTCTGCGTGCGTGTAGCAACGTCGACTGCGCCGAAGATCTGAAGTGTTTCTAGGAGTGCTGGGAGAGTGATCTGAAAATTTGGCAGGGCATCATCCTCTTCGCCAAGGTTCAAAACGTACGAGGTAAAGAGCTTCTTATCGAGGAAGGCAGTACCTGGTTGACGGTCAACTACGCTGTCTACTCTGACTGGCCACCGCCGCACATACCTTGCATGACTCTAGACAAGTCGGCCGCGAATCTGATGCCGTCTTCTTGGAGTTGTACATGGACCTTGTTGGAAAAGTTGATGGTTCTCAGCAGCTGATACAGCGGTCTTGTCGAGCTGGCCACAGCACGGAACAGCGGTTGTGGTGCCGTTCCGGGCTGAGGAAGGCTACCCGACATGGCTTCTAGTGACGCGGCTGCTCTTTATATGAGAACGGTCACCTGAGATCGCGAGAAAGGTGATATTGATGGTTTTCTTGGTTGCTTCTAAAGTACAAGGTCGCCGCCGACTTGAAAAACTTCTTGGGGGTATCTTAGACGTAGACTCCGACCGCGCAGAACATATAAACTGTGCCGAGTCTGTAGTTATCCATCAGCAGAGGTCTTCGCAAAGAGGGCAAAGCGGGTTGACTTACGCAATCGTAGCAGAGGCAGGTACACCCAACACCACGATGTTGGTGATGGAACGGTCTGTGTTCAAGGTAAGGTGATGAATCTTGCTGCTCAATGTCCGATGCAAACTTACTCAGAGCAAAAACACCGGTGATGCCGACACCGATGAGAAGAAGAAGGAAGGCAATAAAGAACTGGGAGTCCTTGCCGACAGCAGGGTTGAACGGCGTGCTAGCAGCAGCTTGCCAGACCTCAAGCAACGAGGAGTCCATCTGCTAATCGAGGGAAGGCGATTGGCTTCTTTAGTAGGTGCAAGCAGTTCGGTTGTTTCGTTTGCGTAAAAATGGCCCGGACCGTTGAAAGCGTGTGCACGAGATTGTGAATTTCTCAATGGTTTCCGGTAGGTGCTGATAGCCGGTTTCTTTGGAAGATCGCGAAGTGTAGCTTCCCCAAACGTGTTCTGAGCTCCAAAAGGCCCACCGTGAATTGTGGCCTGAGCCAAATAGGGACTAGTGCTATTCCACTTTCCCCTTGCTCATTGCCCCACATGGAGCCAGACGGCAACGGAGAAACGGCAGTGCCTAGCGCGGCATGTCATCAACCTCCCATGAACCACGACAACATCCATCGATCAGGTTCGTCGAACATAGGCCTGCAAGGGCTTGCGATTGAGGGCAACATGAAGGAAGAGAGTGAGTCGCATGGCACCCATCATTTGACTGATACAAAACTCGATTTAACGCGGTGACGCAGCCGCGAAGCGCAAAGCTGAGGACGAGCCGTCCTCGCCGACCGCGACGAAACGGGTCAAGCACAATGATTCGGCCGAGCCAGAGAAGAAACCGGCGATGAAGCCGATACCCTTTCCAGAGAAGGTGAGTCTATATATGCTGTCGCGACACCGCTCGCAAACGAAGATTACCCACGCGATCCTCACAACCCCCCTCCTTCACGTGGGCCCGCAGGCTAACCGCGATCTGCGCAGCCCGCTGTCATCGAGGAGCGCACCGGCGAGATCGAATTCCGAGTAGTCAACAACGACAACGAGCGCGAATCCCTTATCATCCTCACCGGCCTCAAATGCATCTTCCAGAAGCAGCTCCCCAAGATGCCGAAAGATTACATCGCGCGTCTCGTCTACGATCGGACCCACTTGTCGATAGCTATCGTCAAGAAGCCCCTCGAAGTTGTCGGCGGCATCACTTATCGTCCCTTCAAGGGCCGCCAGTTCGCTGAAATCGTCTTTTGTGCCATCAGCTCCGACCAGCAGGTTAAGGGCTACGGCGCGCATCTCATGTCTCATCTCAAGGACTATGTAAAGGCCACGAGCGACGTGATGCACTTCCTCACTTACGCCGACAATTACGCCATCGGATACTTCAAGAAGCAAGGATTCACCAAGGAGATTACCCTTGATAAGAGCGTTTGGATGGGTTACATCAAGGATTATGAGGGTGGTACGATTATGCAATGCTCAATGCTGCCGCGGATCCGATATCTCGAAATGGGCCGCATGCTGCTCAAGCAAAAGGAGTGCGTGCAGGCCAAGATCCGCGCGTATTCAAAATCGCACATTGTTCATGCCCCTCCGAAAGAGTGGAAGTCCGGCGCGAAGCCCATCGACCCGCTCAGCATCGACGCCATCCGCGCATCCGGTTGGTCCCCGGACATGGACGAGCTCGCGCGCCAGCCTCGCCACGGCCCCAACTACAACCAACTCCTCCACCTCCTCAACGATCTGCAGAACCACCAGTCGGCGTGGCCCTTTCTCGTGCCTGTCAACAAGGACGACGTTGCCGATTACTACGAGGTTATTAAGGAGCCTATGGACCTCAGCACCATGGAGACCAAGCTCGAGGCGGACCAGTACGCCACGCCCGAGGACTTCATCCGCGACGCCAAGCTCATTTTCGACAACTGCCGCAAGTATAATAATGAGTCTACGCCGTACGCGAAGAGTGCCAACAAGCTGGAGAAGTTCATGTGGCAGCAGATCAAGGCCATCCCCGAGTGGTCTCACCTCGAGCCGTAGAAGGGCAAAAGGAAAGGCAAAGAGGGCGGACCGAGAAAGATGTGGCCGAAGGAGAGCCCCAAAGCCGGCTCACGGCGGCGGTCGTCTAGTGTGCGCGAGATGCCGTAGGCTTGTTTGGTCACGAGGTCTTTAATGAAAAGCCGGGGTCGGATAGGGTTCGAAACTTGTGGGAATTGGCGTTGGTCGGTGGCTGCTTTCCCTCTACTTCATGGGAATTCTTACGTGGTGCTATGGGAAGGTCATCAAGAGTGCGTAGGTTGGGATGGCCACTCGTGGCGTTTAGGGGAATGGGCGCACTCCTTGTTATTGTATGATACGCCGACGGCCGGGAATCGTAACAAAACAAAAAAAGCAACACGTTTTGCACATTGCACCACTACTTTGGAAAACGTTGCAACTGCTGGGTAATTCTATTGTTCAGAAGTGGATGTCACTCGTTGCTGGGCAAAACAATGAAGCATATGAAATTAGCACTTTTGTGACCAAGGGCCCTCAACTAGATACAGGTGGTCTGGTTGGATGCGAGCCCTGAAATGCGGAGAGTTCTCGTTTTCTCGTAATCCCTTGCACTCGCTGATTCCTTGCAAGTCCTCCCAAAAACAGAAAAAATCAAACCGTCCAACGCCTTGTGTGGGGGAATAACCGGGTGATGTATGAGGAGTCGGCCGCGTTTGTGGAGGGATTCCTCCTCATGCCCAGTGGACTCGAAAACACTAGTATAGAAATCGAACCAAACCGGGGGCAATGTGTCGTCGACAGATATGCCGAGCTTCAGAATGTTGTGTTCGCGGCCGCCTGTGCTCAGGAGGTCGGCGATGTGATGTTCCAAGTATCATCAGGGAAGAGACCCGGGGGATAGGTGAAGGCTATGTTGTCGGGACCGAGCATGCTACTCAGCGCTATAGCCTCAATCTCCTGCGGAGTCGGCAGAAACTGATCAACGACGGAGAGGGTTCCAGGCACCTGGACCTCCTAGGCGCCAGGTGCCTGTGCCGTCCGCTGCAAAGTCGGACTAGTCGCGCTGTCGCCGACCGGGAGACGCAGATCCGAATACGTACGCCGCCAGTTTGTGATGCCGCCAATGTGGTGCTCATCGGTGCCTCTTCGCTCTCGCGCTGCACTGGAGCTCGCCGAGGTGGGCAGGCGAGCAGGCGGCACAATGGCCTCTTCCATACCTGAGCTGGTCTCAAGAGTACGACGAATGATGTCGTGGAGGAAATCGGGAATGTCTTGCCACTGGCCGGCTCGGGCAGCCATCAGCATGCGAGGAGGAAAGAGCGCCTGCGGCACGACCGCATCTGCAGCGTCGGTTGTTGACGTCGCGATCCCGTTTGAGATGTATGGCAGCTCGCCACTCTCGATGACATTCTTCAGCCACTGCTCCCATTCCTCATCCAGCACCGTCGACATGTCTCCCGCCTCTCGTCGGGCCGCCCGTTCTCTGAGACGCTGGTTCAAAGCCACTCCGACACTCTCCAGCTCCTCTTCGCTTTCCTCACCGTCCATGTCCTCATCTCCAGGGTCTGTTGCGTCGTCCGTCTCGACAGACCGTGATCTGGTGCTCCGGACCAGGGGCGTGGGGCGGTCTTCGGGCTCGACCCAATCGGGGAATCCGTCGCCGGCAGTGTCCCGGATGGTGATGCCCTGCTCCTTCTCATAGCGCTCCTTGGCCCATCTCGTACCCTCCCATTTGGTCAAGCCCGCAATCTCGTTGGGGGTAAGACGAAGGTTGTCGAACGCTCGGAACAAGCGACGGTGCCAAGTCCAACGGCTCAGGCGAATGCGATGGATGGGATTGCAGTAATCCAGTCCTGGGTACTTGGCTTCTTGTGTGTCGAGGTGGCCGTAGAAGGAGTGGACCTCTTGGCGAACCTCCAGGATCAGGCTGCGTTGCAGAAGGGCGTGAAAGTTCTGGGGATCGCTGGCGCGAGGCTTGGGGAACATGTGCTCGTAAACGAGCTGGTCGATGGGACGGCCCTTCATTTTTGGGATCGCAGTCGGGTTCGTGGGCTTGTAGAGGCTCTTGTGACTGGTGCTGACTCTGCGCACGAGGCGTAACGGGGAG